GTTCAATTCCTCAGCACCACATAAGCAAAAAGGAAAAAGCTGGAAGTGGCACTGTAGCTCAAGTGGTAGAGTGCTAGCCTTGAGCTGAAGAGCTGAGGGACAGCGCCCAGGCCCAGAGTTCAGGCCCCACGACTGGACCCCCGCCCAAAAAATATATAAAACAACAGAGAAGAATCTTAAAAACATTGTACTGAGTAAAAGTATTCAGACAAAACAGTATATGTCGGATAAGTCCATTACTAGGATATTCTAGGGTAAACAAGTGCAGTTTCTGGTTATAGGAAGGAGATTGTGGTTGCCAACAATTAGGGTTAGGAATGGCAGAGAGTGGGACCAGCTAAGTTTTGGGGATAATAAAAATGTTCTGTAGCTATCAAAACTCAACTGTCTGTTTATAAAGTATCTGTTTTTGGTGTATAAAATATCACTAGTTGATTTTTTAAAAACTGCTTGAAATCCAGATTATTGTAATAAATAGAAAGTTTAACGGCACATTCCCCAACTCCTTTCCTATCTGGAGAAGCCCCAGCTGTTCCACAGAAACAGACACAACGAAGCTCACAGGCCCGTGTGCTAAGCAAATGACGCGTACCTGCTACAACGATCCTCTCTGGAACCTGCATTATCACACTCGCGTTGGGAATGCCTTCTTGGAATCCTTGCTCCAGGTCAGCACTTGGTGGTGCAACTTTTAATTTTTCTGGGACCCTCATTCGCTGACTAATACCTTCGGTGTATTCCATTTCATACTGAATCCGACTAATTTCTGCCATCTCAGCAGCAGTGGGAGAAGGAAATGCTGCCCCACTCACCCTGAGGGAGAAAAATTTGAGATCGAGATGATTGAGCATTAGAGTGTTAGTCCCCTCCACACTGGTGTGAGAGGATAATACCTTATAAGAGAAAGAGCAAAGGAAACTTCTCATTTGCCAGTACCGAATAAATGCAAAGGAAAAATAAAAGAAGAAAATTCTTTACTCAAGACAATGCCTTCTTATCAGCGGAAGTTGCACATTAAAGATCTGGCTTAGGTGCAAGTTGGTAATATGTTGTATAATGCCAACGTAAATGTGCAAGTGCGCATGCGCACACACATACACGCACACGCACACACACACACTTTTGCTGCCTCTGCATAAACTGATATACATGCTCCTTTTAACAACAACAACAAAAAAAGCCTGAAATAAAATTTAAATAAAAAATTGCTAAACAGGGGCTGGAGGTATAGTTTAGCAGTAGAGTGCTTGCCTAGCATGGCTGGAGGTATAGTTTAGCAGTAGAGTGCTTGCCTAGCATGCATGAGACCTTTCAATTTCCAAAATCAATTATTTGAGAGAAATATCCAACTAATTATTTGAGGAAAAGCTGCTTGGACTTCATAAAACCAAATTAGAAACTGGTATCATATGTTAAAAATAAAGACTAAAACCCCTCTAATAGTCAAAATCTGAGTTCAAAAGTAAACAAGGTTAATTTTGAACTTAGTAAAAAAGATACAAACCCTCAATTACATAATACAAATAAAATCTTTTGCTAAACATATATCTAATGACATGTAGTAAGTACCAAATATATAATTTATATCAAAAAATTCTTAATATATGCACTTGTGTGCCAGTACCAGGGACTGAACTCAGGACTTCCTGCTCTCACTCTGCATTTTTGCTGATGGCTGGTGCTTTACTACTTGAGCCATGCCTCTAGTCCTTAGCTGAGTGTTTTGTGGTTATTTGGATAAAGATGAAGTCTCACAGACTTTTCTGCCGTGGGCTGGTTTCAAACTGCAATCCTCCAGGTCTCAGCTTCCTCAGTAGCAAGGATTACTGAAGTGAGACACCAGCACCTAGTTTACATTCATTTTTTAAGGGACTAAAGTTTCACATTATTAATCTCTATTTAAAATCATAATTATATGCATATTTTTAAAAACACCAATGTTTTGGGGGGGGGAGAGGCACAGTATAAACAAACTGTGTAACCTTCTAAATTGGAGATGGACCTATGGCTATCAGGAAATGCAATAGAAAGAATGTTGCCCCCAAATGCAAAATATTGATGAAAGCATAAAAAGCATGGTTAGCTATGCAAACAGCTTTCAAGCCACTGACTCTAAAACCTGAAATACCAGCTCAACTGAAAGAAGCATCACTGACCTTCCTAGTGGTGTGTCAATGCTTGTTCTTTTACTCATTTTAATACAGTGAATACACGTCTATAATAGCTATGAAAATACTGCTACCCTGTAGTTCAGTTTATTTATACAACAACTCCCCTACAGATCTGAACTGTTTTTTGGAGGTGTACATAACAACACGGACACTGTTTTTCCAGCTGTAAAAAAGAAAGAATAAAAATCAGTATTTCAACAATTCATTTCACAAGAAAACTATGAGCAAAGTAAATAGCTACTTAAAATTGTTTTTAGACTTGAGCACGGCTTGAGGTGAGAAACCAATTTTCAAATCTCTTCTAGACAGAGTCATTCTATTGTACCTCGAAAGTCATAAAGATGGTTTTAAGTACAGTCAATGTACATATGTGAAGTCAAAATAGAAAAAGCACTATCATTGTACTAGAAGGGAATATCATTTCATCTTAAAAAATAAGTATAAAGAAATCAAGAAGAAAATACAAAGGGTAAAAGTAAACATACTTATGATTGCCTAAAATTTGAATGTGTAAATAATGTTTCCTTAAGAGGAAATAAAATTCAAAAACCAAATTACACTCTTTCCAGTAAAAGAGAAAAATCAAGGACAATAAAAATTTTAAGGAAGTACAGATGTCTGAATCCTAGCTGAGATATTTCTTAAACGTCACATCAGAGATATATTCTAGGGACTCGATTGTGAGCTCCATCTCTGAGACATTGAGGAGAGCTCTGGAGGTTGTTTAGTGCGTTGAGCCTGGTTTGATCATGCCTGCTAACTAGTTTCTTTTATTCTTTACTAAAATGTTTGAAACTGAAGGATTTGGCATGCAGATGGTTTAAAGACTAAGGAAACAGAGCCAGGAGAGAAAATTTTACTTACAAATGGGAACCAACTACTTCTTGCTACTTGGCACTATCTGCTTCTGTGCTTCATATTAAATCCTTTAACTTGCTTCAATGTGCATGCGCTGGATTTAGAGCCACTTTTGTCCCTGGGGGAGAAAAATGAGGGCTAATTCAGAAACCAGATGATACCCACATTAGGGATTCAGTTGGAAAATTCTCCATAGATTTCAAAGCCACAGAGAAACAACTTGATATACATAGAAACAAATACAAGAATAAACAAAGAAAAAAAAGCTTAACTATTTCAGTCTGACAGATAGTGCTTTATAATTATTCATTTTTTTGTTGCTGTTGTTGGTCATGGGGTCTGAATTCTGGGCCTGGGCACTGTCCCTCAGCTCTTCAGCTCAAGGCTAGTGCTCTACCACTTGAGCCACAGCACTACCTCCAGCTTTTTCTGTTTATGTGGTGCTGAGGAATCGAACCCAGGGCCTCATCCATGCAAGGCAAGCGCTCTACCATTGAGCCACCTTCTCAGCCCTCTATAATTATTCATTAGGTAGGGAAGATTGAAGACACAAGTCTTCGATTTCTGATTTGTACTTACAAAACATGTAAATGAAAAACTTAAGTTAACCTATAGTTATGTGTACATAGTATGTATACATACACAGTATGTACACATACAAATATATTAAAAGAAATCTACTGTGTATATTTTCCCTTAAAATCTTAAAAATGGACAATAATAAACACTAGGTAAGAATGTACAGTACGTGGCTTACAGTGGTGGCTCATGCCTATAATTTTAGCACTCAGTGGTCACAGGCAAGACTTATCATGAACCTGAGGCCAGCCTGAGCTGTGTTCCATGCAGTGTTCCACCCAGTCTTATCTTCAACAACCCAGGTCCACAGGCAACCTCTACCATCAATTTTTGTATGTCACGCTAGAGGAGATACTCTTTGAATACTGTTTTGTGTATCTGAAGAGTTAAAAAGCTTATTTTTAGAAACAGCATTAAAAAGATGTATCCCATAAAAAAAATTTAGCCTTGAAACATGACAAATTGAAACTTTATTGTAATAAAAAAGGGAGCCAAGCTGGTAAAACCACATTATCTCCTTGAGATATGCTGATCTCCATATGAATTCCCTTCACTGCATTTCAGGACTTTTTGTTTTTGTTGTTAGGTAGGGTTCAAGGCTGGCCTTGAACTCATGGATTACCCATGTGCACCACAGTGCCTGGCTCATTCCAGCCTCAGCATTCCACTACAACAGCTCAAAGATCTCAGCATTTAATTTTATAGCATTGTTTATTCTTATGAGAATCTGTGAGTTTGTAAAGAAACAGGGACTTAGAACAAGTTGGGAAAAATCTCCTGTAATGAACTATTTAAATTTAAAAAGTGAAGTTGAGGGAGAAGGCATGGGAAGGAACACAATGGAGACAGTATTCCAAATACACTGTGTATCCATGTGTGGAAATACCACAGTGAAGTCCCCCTATTACAAATGCATGTTAACTTGAAAACAGAACAAAATTACAATAAAACATAAATGCAACTTAAAAAAAAACTAAGATTAACACTACTGTCTCAGTTGTTAGGTTTTCTGCTTAAGCAAAACAGATTCGAATCTTTGTCTCTCTCATTAGACTATGACACTGGGTAACCTTTTAACAAACTCATTTGGAGCTAAGATATTAACTTTAGAAGTTTAGTACATAATTCTCTATTACACAACCAACAAGACAAAGTCCTCCTTGGAATCATAGAAAATTTCAGATCTCCACTCTCCAGGTTCCCTGGTTCCCGTACATGCACAATACATATAAACTGCAAGGGTTTCCCTCAAACCCACACTAGCTACACTTGTTTTTTTTTCTTTGGTCTTATATTTTTAAATAAGTATATTTTAAAAGGAAAGTTTACACCTGAAGCCATAGACTTGATGAACGTATATGAATATATGTAATACAAATGTAACTATTACAAAAAATCCTTACCCACAAAGCATCCTACACACTACCACAGAGAATCAAGTCACACTTACCACTTACAGAAAGCACATCAATCTGGGGATGAAATGATTCAAACTCTAATTTTCTCACTATCTACATTAGAACAAATTGATACAAGTAGCAAAGACTTTTATAATTATCTTATTTATTGAGCCAGTCTTGGGGCTTGAACTCAGAGCCTGGGCACTGTCCTTGAGATTCTTTTGCTCAAGGCTAGCACTGTACCACCTGAGCCACAGCGCCACTTCCAGCTTTTTCTGTTTATGTGGTACTGAGGAATTGAACCCAGGGCTACAAGCATGCAAGGCAACCACACTTACCACTAAGACACATTCCCAGCCCTATGATTCTCTAGTTGAATAAATTTTTAAAAAAGGAACCTAATTGATGTTTATTCTGCAGATCCAATTCAGTGGTTTTTATCTAGGTCACTCAGTTTTAGTTCCCTTTCCAACCACCATTTAAGAGAATGGGTGCTAACAGGTTGAAGAGCCCCTGAGTTATTTTTACTTTTCAAGAAAAGTCACCAAAAACTTGGATAATGTCTATTAACCACAGAAAATGTTCAACACCCAAGGGTGTGTGTGTGGGGGGAGTGCAATAGCTAAATTTTGTAATCCTGAAAGAAGGCAGCTCTAACAGACAGGAAGGGAGACAACACACGATTTCCTTTGGAAAGATTAACAGAAGCTTCATGTACACAGCTTCAGCTTAACACTAGGAAGCAACGCTCCCAGGAACTCTTCAGAAGCCCTTGAAACCAAAAAGGGGAGTTACCCCTTTTAACTTCGGAGGGTGACCACTAAGCACAATGAAGTGCTCCTAATTAAGGCCTAAAAAGGGTTTATTGGGGCTGGCGGGGGAAATCTTCATCAGAAATACACATTTCCCACCCAAGGAAGGAGAAAACATTCTCCATCGTTCCAAGCTGTTCGGGGGAAGATCTGCACACATACAACGCACGGCGGGCTCGGGAGCTGGCACCGGCTTCCCCGATCTTCTGGCGATCCACAGACACCCCCAACTTTCGGGAGGGTGCACAACACGCGGGGCGCGGGCTTGGCGAGGCCAGTCCTGCAGACGCAGGATCCCAGCTCCCGCATCCTGGGAGGAGGTGACCCCCAGGCCGGCAGCCAGGAAGCTCAAGACCCCGGGGCCTCCCGGGAGGCCGCCCCCCCCCGCCCGCCCCCCGACGCCACGACCCGGACGGCCACACGGTTTTCCTTCCCACCACCGAAAGGCCACTTGGAAGGCGGGCAGGCTCAAGGTCATGCTGAGCAGCGCCGGGGAGCCGGCGGGAGGGAACCGGGAGGCCCGGGGTGCGAGCTGGCGAGGCCGTCCTCGGATGACCGGCCTCCACGCTGCTCACTTTAGGACAATCAGAGTTCTCAAGACGAGAAGCCCAGCTCGAGAAGGCGGAGAGGCGGGCCTCGAACACGCGCAGGGCAAAGGGCTTCTCCCCCTCGCTTTCCACGGAAACCGGGTCCTGAGGAGGGAAAGGCCGGGGTGGGAGGCGACCTCGGGGGCCGTGCGGCCCGGGGCGCCGGCGCGGACGGCCCGGCCATCGCGGGGCCTTCCGTGGGCCGGGAGGCCACGGCCCGGGCGAGGCCCGCAGACCCGCTCGGGCGGCAGCCCCGGGCCGGCCGACGTCAGCACTCACCCCTGGCCCGCTGGAGAGTCCCCGGAGAGGGCCGCCGCCCGCCGGCTCCCGGGGCGCCCGGTGAGCGCTCTCAGAGGCCGTTGGCCGAGCGCATTGAGGAGCCGGGGCGAAGCACCCGCGAAGCGGCCGCGGCGGGCCGGACAGACGCGAGAACGGCCAGAACTAGCCCCTCTCGGGCGCCGTAGCGGAAGCAGGTTCGTGGTCATGTGATGCCAGTAAGGGCGGATGTTCGGCCCACCCGCCGGAGCCGGGCCCCAGAGAACATGAGGAGACATCTTTGTTGTGGGCAAAGCGCGCCCAAAGCCAGATCTCGGGAAGGTATTTAAATTCGGCTCCCTGGCCCGTCGCCGGAGGCTCCCACCGTCATGCCGGCTACTCCGGGGCTGAGATGGGAGGATCGGGGTTCGAAGCCGGCCCGGGCAGGAAGGTCCGTGAGACTCATCTCCAGTTAACCACCAGAATGAAAAAAGAAAAGCCGGAGCGGGAGTGGTGGCGCAGGTGTGAAGCGCTAGACTTGAGCAAAAGCCGCTAAGGGTTCAGGCCCCAGAACTGGCACAAACCAACAATCAACAAGGTTTACGACTCCGTGATCTCTAATGCCTCGCTCTGCATCAAGTTCTGTGATGGGACTCCAACCATCTGCCTCCTACACCAACAAGAGTCCTCGATTTTTGGTTAGATGACCGTCTTTGTGTGTGTGTGTGTGTGTGTGTGTGTGTGTTTGGTTAGATGACCATCTTTGCGTGTGTGTGTGTTTGGTTAGATGACTGTCTTTCTGTGTGTATGTGTGTGTGTGTGTCTCGGTTGTGGAGCTTGACCTCAGGGCCTGGGTGCTGCCCCTGAGCTCTTTTGCTCAAGGCTAGTGTGTGTGTGTGTATGTGTGTGTGTGTGTCTCGGTTGTGGAGCTTGACCTCAGGGTCTGGGTGCTGCCCCTGAGCTCTTTTGCTCAAGGCTAGTGTGTGTGTATGTGTGTGTGTGTGTCTCGGTTGTGGAGCTTGACCTCAGGGTCTGGGTGCTGCCCTTGAGCTCTTTTGCTCAAGGCTAGTGCGATACCACTTTGAGCCCCAGTGCACATCCAGTTTTTGAGTGGTTAATTGGAGATAGTCTCTTTGGAATGTTTCTACCTGGTCTGATGTTCTCAGATCTCAGCCTTCTGAGTAGCTGGGATTACAGGCGTAAACCATCTGTGCCCAGCTATGCCTTCTACTGTCAAGGCTGGTGCTCCACCACTGGAACCACTGCTTCAACTTCATGCTTTTTGCTGGTTAATTGGAGATAAGAATCTCATGGACATTTCTGCCCAGGCTAGCTTTGAGGCATTGTCCACATATCTCAGCCTCCCAAGTAGCTAGGGTTGAGGGTGTGAGCCACTGGCCCCTCCCCAAAAGAAAAAAATTCAAGATCTCAAAGAATTCTGGAAATGAGGACATTGAATTAGGGTAAAGGGGTAGTTAGCGACCTTTTTTTTTTTAACTTCGTGATAGCTCTGTGTCTAGCCACCCAACTTCTAACTCTGTCCATTCTGCAAACCCTGTGCTCAGAACTGAAAAATCATACTGTACTATGAGGACAGACAGAAGCCAAATCAAAAGACTAAGTGTCTAGTACTTCAATTTTCACAAATAACCAAAGATAAACCCTGACTCAGTACCCACGGGTTTCAGCCATGGACTCAAACAACCACATGTATTCTGTTACACATGAATAGAATTTTTTTCCTTCCTTAACCATTAGGATATAGACAATTGTTTACATTGTATTTGCTTATTTTATTTGTCAGTCATAGGGCCTGAATTCTGGGCCTGGGCGCTGTCCCTGAGCTCTTTAGCTCAAGGCTAGCACTCTACCACTTGAGCCACAGCATCATTTCTGGCCTTTTCTGCTTATGTGGTACTGAGGAATCAAACCAGGGTCTTATGCATGCAAGGCAAGTACTCTACCACGGGGCCATCTTCCCAGTCCTGTATTTGTTTATTATTCATAATCTAGAGATGCTTTAAAGTATATGTGAGGCTATGTGGGTTATGTGCATATAAACCTACTTTACAAAGTGTCTTAAGAATATGTGGATATGGATGTGTGCTGAGTTCTTGGGGAAGACCCTTCCCACTTTGTGTGTTCCAAGGGAAGACTTAGCAAATGTGTGATGTACTCTAGAATCCAAAGATATTCCAGAGATGTTACTTTTCTTCAGAATAATGTGGGAACCCCTGTGCATTGCATTCTTGGGTCCTATCTTAATATTGGTATAGGGAAGGTAACATTTCCCTCCATCCTCTTAGCGTGTCTCAGCTAGGCCTAACAATTAAGTTGACATAAAAAGAAAAGAACAGGAAAGCATACTGATTTTATATAGAAACTCCTATTTGTACATTGGAGCCAGAAAAATGAAGACTTAAGAAAAAACAGGGTCTAATATATAGGTATACATATATAATAAATAAATATTTATGAATATAAATTATGATGTATATATGTGTATATACACATGTGTATATACATATATAAGTATGTATATATATGTGTGTGCATATATATATGTATATGCACATACACTTAGTTGGCCAGAGTAGTAACTTATAAACGTGAGAGCTTAGGCTAGGCCTGTGAAGAGCTAACTAGGGAGATGAGGATTCTTTAACTGACTCTGGAGATAAGAATGTCTTCCTCGTGGAAGTCATTTTTCATTTAAAAGTCTTATCTCCTACTTTCAGGAGGAGAAAAGCTGGCCAGAGTATCTGTCTTACATCTAGTGGGCTTTTTTGTTTGTTCATTTGTTGTTTATGGGGGGGGGGAGTCTAGAGTTTGAACTCCAGACTTACACTTGTACCACATCTTCTATTCTTTTAAATGCTTTTTACTCATAATAATCTTGATGATAAAGTGGCATATTTAGGGATTAAAACATTTTGTTGCCTTAAGTGGCAAATCTTCTTTCTTTAAGAATACATTAAATAACAGGGTGCTTGTGGCTTATACTTGTAATCTAGCTACACAGGAGGCTGAGATCTGAGGATCACTGTTCAAAACCAGCCCAGCCAGGAAAGTCTGTGAGGCTCTTATCTCCAATTAACCACCATAAAACCAGAAATGGTACTGTGGCTCAAGTGGTAGAGTGCTCATCTTGAGCTGAAGAGCTTAGGGACAGAGCTCAGGCCCAGAGTTCAAGCTCCATGACCGATCAAACAAAACAAAACAAAACAAAAAACCCTACATAAAATAATAATAGTGATTCCAAGTCTTGAGGGGGAAGGTAGAGATTAAGCGGGGTAAACATGACTGTGATCAAAACCTTTAAAAAATTAGGATCCTTATATCTCTTTTAGCCCTTGTAATTAATTGTAGTCATTTTTATTTTTGCTCCTGTTCTCTTCCCTGCACAGAAAAAAAAAAGATTTCATAATAACTTTCAAATGAAGATTGGGATCCAATTGTCAAACTGTGTGGCATGTTCTCCTTTGGTTTGTGGAGGCCACAGAGGGAAACAAAAGTCAGGCATGGTGGGGTAGACGTCATGTTTATTCAAAGCTTTCCGCCCATAGATTCATCACTAGCAGTAGCAATCACAGCCCATAGCACAAGAGCACACTGCTCACGAGACCATCCCTGCACAGATTCACGGGCTGTGCAGAGCCCCAATTTCATTCTGTTCTCAGGTTCATGTTCTGTCCATCATTATACCTCTCCTCTCAGTCCCACAGGAACAGCTGGAAGGGGTACCTGTTTGTACACCTTCTAAACCAAAGTGGCTTTGGGCCAAGGATGTCCATAGAAGGAAGATGTGTATACCCGGTCTTCAAGGCTGCATGCATGGTTACCCAACTTAGCACATGCATGTATGACTCAAGGCTACACAGATGGACTGAATCAGTTCTTGGGAAGTACAGGCCCAAAGCCCTCCAGAAGCTATGGTGAGAAAAGCCCAACTGATTTGTTTACCTACACAAACCCAAATCTTCTCTCTTTAATCCTAATTATTGTAAATGTTCTGCCATCTGTTTTAGCACACACATTATATTATCCTATTAAATGAGCTAGAGTATTGTATAGAGTGTCAAAGGACTTAATAAAGTCTGGTTGTAGGGTCTCCAAGTAAAAAAGATCGGACTATTTTCTCTTTCTTCCATAGCAAATCTCCTCTCTTCTTTTGTGTGACACAGATTCCCATTGGCCTTCCTCTGTTCCCTCATCAATGTGGGTATTTCCATTTATGAATTAACCACTGTCTGTTTTACAACCACAATGTATATATCATATGAGCACATCCATGCTCAGGGTGAGGTCAGTTCAACTTCAGTGTCCCATTGCTGTCGTCCCAATGGTTTCAAACTCAAAAATGTTCTCCAGACCTTCTCAATCAAGATACCTTCTCCTGAACTGATTTCATTTAGTCAATAGCAAGATTATACTTCTAATTACCAAGGTTAAAACTACTAATCTACGTTATCTTTTACTGTCTTACTTGATGGTAATTTGGGGTGAGGAGTGGTGAAGATTGAAATGTAGAGATCTTGGTATTCTTCATGATTTCCTTATTACCTGTTACTTTTACAGTACCCATTTATTAGTTTCACAGTCCAAAATATGTTTACTTCCATTTTGAAAAACAAAAACAGGTACATTTTTTTCAGTTTTATTCCAACAATACAATGAAATAAGATTTTTAGCTATAATTACAGAAAAATTAGTACATTACAATATATTGTAAGTTTGTCAGGACATAACAATATAAAATATTCAATATATCTTAAATATATTTCATTTGGTTATGGAGAAAATATTAAATTAAGTTTAGTAGCCATAAGTAACATTTGATATAGAAAAATCTTTGTAAGTGAACAATACAGTTCAGATTTAAACATTGTTAAAACTTTTATAAATAAATTAATAAGGTTTGTCTTGCAAAAACAAAACTCTGAGAAACTGATTGTGTTAGCACACTGTGAAATTCCAAAGTTGAAGCCCCAAAGTTAAAAGAAACAAGTTAACTGACATTTGGCTTACAAAACTTAATTTCATAAGCTACTGGATGATAATGCACATGAACTGTAATGCTCATTTGCACAAGTATGCTTTCACAACTGTTCATATGGCTTCATGGGTATGTAAGGCTTTAGTGCTGTTTGGCTTCCTTAGAAGTTAAATACTGATGAGGGTGAAAGAAAATGGCAGCATGGGGTTCAGCAAAGGCCAGTCATCTGGCATTAGCACCAGTATAGGAGTATAAAATATGTCACCTTGAAGTCACCTATGACTTTAGACTTTAAAAGAGGGAACAACTGTGTCCAGCTGGGTGGTTGTCTAGCATCTGAGTACAAAATCTTAATAAAATGTTGTATGCCTTAGGATGCAAAAATGTTTTGACAGCAACCATGTGAACAGTGAAGGTAAACCATATCTGTGCTCCTGAGTCACATTTTCACTCACAAAAGATTAAGATTGGAGCAGTAGCCTGAATGAAAATATTAGCACCACCAGTTAGTTCCACCTGGGTGGACAAGAAACATCTTCAATGCTGTGCCTTTGGATGCCTAGACACTAAGACTCATCAAACAGAGCTACCATCATGTATAAGTGAATTTCTTAAATGTTTTATAGATTTTAAAAAACATATATGTTGCTCAGACCTTAGTTTCTGTGGTGCATAGGAAAAGCTACAGGTCCTGGTCTTTCCCTTGGCATAGATGCCAAACTTTTAAACTTTTATTCATATCTACTGAATAGTGAGGATGAAATAGAGAAAAAGTGATAAAGGGTAATAAAGGGAAGAGGGAGAACTCGTCATATAAATGTGATTTTTTTTTTTTTTGCTTATTTGCTTGATTAGTTTTGGTGCAGGAAATCAACATAGGGTCTTCCACATGCCAATGGCATATTCTTCCACTAAGCTACACCCCTAATCCTGAATACAGGCAATAAAATACCATTTCTGAGATAGAAGCTCTGAAACACTTTGCCCCCTCTCTAATTTAACACAGTGCTGGGGTAAACTGTGCTGTTGGTAAACTTGGGAATGTAAAAGGTCTTAAAAGCTTAAGCTTTAAGACATACAGCTGCAATTTGTCCATGAAGGTTTATACATAATGGTCACTCTCAACCTAGTTTAGGTTATGAAAATTCGTAACATAAAGACATGGTTTTCTCTTTTTTTTTGTTGTTTCAACAAAAGAGTATTAGAAAAAGAATTGAGAATAAGTCTGTAAAGCCAAGTAATAAAATATTTAGAGCAAAGAGAAAATCTTCTGAGCCTGATAAGCCAACAAATGCTTTCTGCTCACTCATGTATTACTGAATGACTCTACCACCCGTCAGAGAAGGCATGAACCAGCATTTATAGGAACAGGATAAAGTGCACATCTTGTAAGTATCATCCTTGATAGTGAATAACACTAGCAAAGTGAAGATAAAGTTAGGTACATTTCCGAATATGTGTATTGCAATGTCTTATTCAAATTAATTCACCAAGCAACCTTTTCACTACTTTGAATACTGGGCAGGCCATTTTGACACAGTACACTGAATTCAGTGAACAAGCAGAAATATTCAAAGAAATATAAAACTGTATTAAACAATGCTGAACCATATGAATCCATAAAAGTAGTTTAAACCAAATCATATAGTATTTATCCAAGGTGATTATGGTTCCATCCAGGGAATGCCTTAGTTGTGGGTGTTTGAATGACTCCTCAAAAATCTATGGACCATGTTCAGTTCTGTTTCCTCAGGCCTCAGGCTGCTCCACAGGTCTTAAAGGCCCATTCTGTCATGATGTCCCCAATATTCCACAAGCCCCAGCTTCCTCTGCCTGAGGTTTACAGTCTCAGGAAAGAACAAAGGCCAATCCAGCCTCCCTATTTCTGACAGAATGGAAGAGAACATGTGCTAGAATTCAGCAGAAAAAGCACCTCTAAACTTGTAGCACCAAACTTTAGACAGTCACTTCTTAGTGCTTCCATACAGTGGAATGTGATTGCAGTTATAATTTGTGAAGAGTTATTACCTTGCCACAGGAAATTTTGAAGCAACACATTTAAAGACATAGAATTGATGGGAAAGAAATGCTTTCTTGTGTGAGAAAACAGTTTGAAACTTGATACTAGTAAGCTTTTCATAGAACATTGTATGTTTAGAGGGGAAAAAAAATCCCTCAAAGTTGCAGGCTCTGAGTGATTACTTTGTTCCTGAAGAGGAAATAAAAAAGAGCTCTTCTAGTTTCTTCAGCTTTTCTTCAGTGTCTTTTCTTCATGCAAACCTGACAGCGGCTTATTATTCTTTCTAATTCCCCAGCTTTCACAGTTGATGGAGTAGGTTTTCTGAAACAAAGAAGCAAATAAAAACTCATTGCTTTCTATATTAAAAAAAGGGAATTCTTTCTGGGTTGCAGTATATATATTATTGGAATTTGAACTCAGGACCTTGTACTTGCATGGGAAGGTGCTCTACCACCTGAACTAATCTGTCAACGCTTTTTCTGTTGGTCAGTGTCTGAAATGAGGTGTTGTTTTATGCGCAGACCAGCCTGGACCACAGTCTTATCCCTGCTACTCCACATTGATGACAAGCACATACTATGCCCAGGCATTGTGCTTTTCCTACAGTTGGGATGACAGACATACAGCAGGGATCCAGATAATCATTGAGATAAAATTTTATGAACTGTGCTTCTCCTGGTGGTCTCAAACTTCAGTCTCTGGATCTCTGGCTTGAAACTAACTAGGATTACAGGCTTGAGCCACCATGCTTGGCTAGGTTTCAGTTTTATTAGTGAAGCTTATATTGTTCTAAATTATACTACAGAAATGTATTTTATGAAAGTGAAATTCTGAAAATACAAATATATCGACATTTTTATAAATGCAGTTATTTTCCAGAAGCCCTTAAGAAAAACAGGTCTCGATGCAAACTTACAGAAGATATTTAGGTATTTATTTATTTAGTTACTTAATGGGGTTTGAACTCAAGACCTCAAGCTTTCTCTCAGCTCTTTTAGTGATGCCTAGCCCTCTACCATTTGGTAGTAACTACATCTTTTACTGTGCAGAAGCTTTTTAGCTTGATGCAATGCCATATATCTATCTCTTACTTACTGAGCCCCTAGAATTCTATTGAAGAATCCCTTTTTATCCAGATACAATCTAATTTTCCCCCTCCTCCTTGCTATAGTAATCACAAGGTTTCAGGTCTTACATTGAGGTCTTTGATCGTCTCTGAATTGATACTAGTACAGGGTGAATATCGATATTCAGTTTTTCTAACATCACTTATTGAACAAGGTGTCTTGCCAACATACATTTTTGGCTCCTTTGTCAAAAGTTAGATAGCTGTAGTTTCATGTAGGTTTATTTCTGGGTCCTCTTGTCTGTTGCATTGCTGTTTCAGGTCTGTTTTTGTGCTAATGAGAAGCTGTTTTTGTTACTGAAAATAATAAAATTTAAGTCTTGAATTGTGACACATCTATCATACTTCTTTCTGTCTCTTTCTTTTTCCTTCCCTTCATTCATTCTTTCTTAAGATTGGTTTGGCTATTTGTGGCTTTTTGTAGTTCTCTATGAAGATTGTTTTTTCTCCATCTCTGAAAAATTGTATTGGGGTTTTGATGGGTATTATGTTGAATTTCTAGATTGCCTTTGTCAGTATGGCCATTTTCATACTAATTGATTCTTCCTATCTGAACATGGGAGATCATTCCACCTCCTGGTAGCTTCTTCAGTTTTTTTCCTTAAGGTTTTATTTTTTTCCTTATTAGAGTTCCTTCCTGTCTTGGTTAGTTATGTGTGTGTGTGTGTGTGTGTGTGTGTGTGTATGTGCATGTGTGTACGTGTGTGTTTGTGTGTGTGTGTGTGTGTGTGTGCGTGCGTGCGTGCGTGCGTGCGCGCGTGCATGTGGAAGTCTTGGGGCTTGAACTCAGGGCCTGGGTGATGTCTCTGAGCATTATTTGCTCAAAGCTAGTGTTCTACTTCTTGAGCCACAGCTTCACTTGACTTGTGTGTGTGTGTGTGTGTGTGTTGGAGGTGAGAATCTCATGGACTTTACTGCCTGCATGGCTTTGAACTATAATCCTCAAATCTCAGCCTCCTGAAGAGATAAAATTTCAGGTCTGAGGCACAAGTGTCCATCAGGTTTTTTTTTTTTCTAAAGGTTATTGCAAATAGAATTGTTCTAATTTCCCTCTCTATCTTCTCATTATTGGTAAGGTTACTGATTTTTGTGGGTTGATTTTATATCCTCTACTTTGCTGAAGATACTTATTAACTCTAGGAGTTTGGAGGTGGAGTCTTTAGGATCTATAGATATAGAATCAAGTGTTTTGCAAAAGAGGGAGACTTTGACTCCTTCCTTACCTATTTAGATTTTTTATATCATTCTCCTGCATTATTGCTCTGGTTAGGATTTTCAGTACTATACTGAATAGGAATGAAACAAAAGGACATTATTATCTTTCACATATGTTTATATTAAGTAAATTCAGTCATGGCAAATTTCTTAAGTCTTCTCTTAATTGGTATAGTAACAAAAACTGTGGCCACTTCTTGACTTAATTGGAAACTGGAAGATCCACCCTTAAGCAGGACATGATTGGCATCAGGTATGGGAATTCAGTGTTCATACAGTGAAGCAAAATTAACTCAAGCAACTTCTGAGTAGTTTGGCAGTTGAGTCATCAGATTAAACTTGACATTGAATAGTTACCTGAACATTCTTTCGGGGTCTAATGAAGCCAGCCAGAAACTGTAGGAATTGGAATAGTAGTTGCATGTTCCTCTTCCATGGCATTCTAGAAATGGACTGGCTCGGAATTTCTCCAAGCAGGACCCAGGAGATGCTAGCTCTTGCCCGGCGCCCTCAGAGCCTGCACTTGTGAACTGTCACGACAAAATTCTCTTGATAAAAATGCTGTCCACTGCTGTTCACTGCTCAACAACTTACGTGTCTTTTGGTAGAGGGTTATATAACTCAATAAAAAAAACAAAGTTCCTGGAAAGTACAAACTAAACTTCTTGTACTTCTTTTCAGCCACATTTGCTAATATTTCAGACATCTTCCAGGATGAGATATGGTCATCAGTAAGAACGTCAAACCTATTTCTAGCACCCAGAATACTTCTCCCAGGTTTGGCTCTTTCTTGTTCTTCAGGCTTCCACTTACATATAAACTCAGAAAGGTTTTCCTTGACCACATCCCTGTCCCAGCCTCTCACCATACTTTACCTTCCATCTTTCAGTGTGTCTATCGCCACTCGGACCCTCATTACTACTTTTGATATTTTGTCTTCTTGCCTATTGTCTGTCTTCATCAGTTGTATATAAGTTCTATGAGAGAAGAGACTGGGCTTCTTGGTGTCTTTAGTGCCCAGAATATGATAGGTATTCAGTAAATTAAATTAATGATTGAATGAAGGGGTAATGAAGAGTAAAGAAGGGATGAGAAACCATTCTGTACAGAATGCAAATAAGCATATATATGCAGTGTTCAGCATTGCACATGGTCAGTCTGTAGACTTCATTTAGTACTCATGCCTGGGATATTTTTCTGAAAGAAGCTGTTTTTCTTTATTCATATCTTCACAGGAATATCAAAAGGGCACAGTATGAGGCACAAAGACTTCGGAGCATATTGCTTTCCTAATTCTGCCTCGTTGTATCACTTGATAGTTGTAACTGTAAGTGATAAACATGACCTCTCAAGGTCCCATAGGCTTACAGACAATGTGAATAAAGAAACTGCCACAAAGGGCGCACTCCATTTCCAAGAGACAGTAGCTCCTAATCACCTAAATGTCACCATTTAGAATCAATGGGAACTCTTCTGCTGAGAAGTCTATTTTTTTTATTAAATATTCCATTTCTACTATTTTCTCAAAAAACAAAAAAACTCTAAGCTAGTAACAGTGGCTCTGCCCATAATACTCTGTACTCAGGAGGCTGAGATCTAAGAATTACAGTTTAAAGCCAGTCAGGAAATTCCATGAAATTATTTATCTCCAATAAACTACCAAAAAAGCCAGAAATAGAGCTTTGTCTCAAGTCGTAGAGCACTAGCCATGAGCACAAGAAGCTCAGAGACATGCCTAGTACCTTAATTTAAACCCAGACTGGTACAAACAACAACAAAACTCAACAACAACAACAAAATCAAAATCAAAACCGTATTCAAAGATTGTGAAGCATCAATGGAATATTGAATGTATTGTCAGGCAGAGTCAATTGGAGGCCACATTCTACCCAACATAATGAAAGAATTTTTTTTTTTTTAATTTTTGGTGCCAGTCTTGGGGCTTGAACTCAGAGCCTGGGTGCTGTCCCTGAACTTCTGTGTTCAAGGCTAGCACTCTACCACTTGAGCCACAGCTCCACTTCTGGCTTTTGGCCACTTTTAAATGGAGATAAGAGTCTCATGACTTTCTTACCCAAGCTTGCTTTGAACCATAATTCTCAGATCTCAACCTCCTGAGTGGCTAGGATTGCAGGCGTGAGCCACTAGCGCCCAGGTTTATAATATAATATTTTACAGATACTCTTTACTTTAAATATGCTGTTACATTTCTCCTTACCATAAGGAAAGAAAATCCCTTCCAGAGAGAAATCCAGCCATGCGGGCATGGCGGAATGGTAGTGGTTTGGCTGTGAACGGCTATGGCTACCGCGGGACCTTCACAGACAGTGCATCTGTAATGTGAAACAAACAACATGGTAGCACTGCTGCATTTGGTGCAACCCATTTCTTACAAGTGACATGATTCACTCGGTCTCATTATAAAACTATGATTGTATCTTTACCTGCTAATATAAGGCTCTAGGGCCCTGCCAGTGATTGGAGCCATATCCATTGGCATCAGAGCGGGTGTTGACAGCCAATATGAATAATCATTTCGAGATGCGAAATTGCATACATTATTGATGTTACAGAATAAAAACGGCATTGGGGTAAATCTCTGCAGGCAACTGCCAAGAGTTCCTAATAAAACAAGACTCAGGATCATTTGTAGTAAATTAAAATTATTTTGAACATCATTATAAGATCATGCTCAAGAGTTATTTGGAGAATAGGGAAATATTCTAGTAATGATAGAAATCAAAGTCCGAGGGACAAACAAATCTTTCTCTTACCCTTAATATTTTCTATGTTCTTTCCTGAGCAGTCTAGAACTGGGGGCTGATGGAGTTCAGTTAGGACAATGCCTTCCTAGGCCTCAAGCATTCCTAGTTAACTGAGAATCATTAATAAACAACGAAAGCACTAGAAGACATACTAATCTGGTATTTAAAAGCAGACGGGTAGTATCGGTAAAAAGTGTGTAGGTAACAAGTTTTGTTTCTTTCTTTCTTCTTTTTGTTTTTGGTATTAAACAGGATGGGGTCCATCCAACATTTTATATACCAGAATGAAAATAAAAACTTGGGCCAATTGTTTTCTTGAAAATGTGCTGGAAGGTACCAAAGGTTGTTCACCTTTACTCATTAGAGGGGCCACTTCATGCTATCCATGTTTTACAATCTGCCTATAGAAGAAAATGACTGGAACCAAGATGGGAACATTACCAAGGTCTTGTCCATGGGCTCGTTCGTTCCCTTGTACAAAGAGAAGGGAAAAGCCGCTGTAGAGTGGCTGTGTTCCTTCTGGACATGGAGGCGGCACCACTGTCTGACTGTGCCGGGTGAAGACAAAGCCTGTCATTGTAGTCCCCGTTGCAGGTGGTCCCATGTCTCCCAGTTTTCCCTTCAGTCCTGGCAATCCATCGAATCCAGGTGGACCTTTAAGAAACACATTGTAAATGTTGCAACAGGAACAGAATCTCCACTTGTTCTCCCAAGTGCTCATTTGAATGCTTTTTTTGTATCTGAGTAAAGCACTGTGTCTAGAAAGGAAACCTACAGAAGAGCTGCCAATAGAATAGCCAAGCAATATGACTAACTGAAAACCAGTTTATCCCAAGGCATCTCTTAGTAGATATGTATGTGTATCTTATAGTGACTTTTTTTTTGAGGTCAAAAGTTCTTTATCTTCAAGTTACCCTGGCTGCCTAGCACAGTGTGTTTGGCAGGTCTCACATAAAACTTTCATTTTTTTTTTTTTTGGTTGGTTGTGGGGCTTGAACTCTGGGCCTGGGCACTGTCTCTTAGCTCTTCAGCTCAAGATTAGTACTCTACCACTTGAGCCACAGCACCACTTGCGGTTTTGTGAGTGGTTTATTGGAGATAAAAGTCTCATGGACTTTTCTGCCCAGCCTGGCTTTGAACTGCGATCCTCAGATCTCAGCCTCCTGAATAGTTTAGGATTACAGGCATGAGCCACCAGTGCCCGGCCACATACAACTTTTATAAGTAAGGGAACAGATGGCTGGACAGTATAGGGAGGAAAGAAAGGAAATAAAATGTCTACAACTTGATGATTTGTTCAAGTAGATGATAAAAATAGTATTCATGCTTTTCATAAATCCAGTGTACAACCACAGAAAACGCTGGAAGTTCTTTTGAAAGGTGTCAGCTTCAGAAACTTTTTTTTTCTAGAAAGTTTTTGATCAATCAGTAAGGCAATGAAGAACAGAAAGTATCTTTGCTGAGGTAAGGAATCCTTGTATTTATATGCATCTAGGTGGTTTTTATACTTTGATTTTCGTCTCTGCAGTTGGAATAGACTTAAGACACAAGGACCTTTGCTCTCTTTTTTTCTGTTCTTCTCTTTCTCCATTCCCTTTTCCTGTTCTCCTCTTTCTCCATTCCCTAGCTGTTATTGCTGACTGTGGCAGTGGCCATCGCCTCCTTGCCCATGCTTTTCCACGGTCACTTCACACTCTTTGCTTTTCTTGACCTGTGCTCTCATTCACTGGGGAAAGGCGCCATACTTGGCCCCCAATGAAGGATGCCTTCCTGTCCCTGCACAACAGTTGTAAAGGGGTGAGTAGAGCAGAGCAGGAACTGGAGGTGAGCTTTTATGCTGTTGTGTGCTCTCCAAGGTCATTTTGTATTTTCCAGAAGAGGGCAAAGTTTAGGCCAATATAATTTGACTCTTGGGTCCTTCCACCATTCTTATACTCACGCCACAGCATTGGACTGTGCATACCAGCTACTAAATCTCAGCATAACTTGAAGAATGCTTGTTCTTGTTGCCTTGACCATTATATGTATATGAATCAGTGGAAACGTTTACTGAATTAGTAACCTGAGCTTTGTTGTTTTACCTCTTTGAAACACACTGTGCAGAAAGCCAAATGATTAGTAGTGCTCTGATGTGTTCTCATGACAATACTAACTCAAACATGACTGCAGTTGATATACTTATGACAACATCTTATTTGAATGGAAAAATATTAAAGTCTCCAGATTTTATTATGGTCCATGTGAATTGTAAATCACATTTAGAAGTTTTTCTTACTTTAACAAAGTCATCAATCCTAAAAATATGAGATTCGGGCATATAATGACTTTCTTCAAAAGGGGTGCTTTGAAACCTTCACAGAAAGTAAGATTTGGATTCAGCTAACAAATGGACTTAGATACTTTGAGTAATACATTCATTGTATTTAAGAAGTTCTTTCTAGGATATACATGAGTTATTGAGTTGAATTTAAAAGCCGTACAGTTTAAAGATGGCCTTCCTACATAAGGAAATACGTCATTTCTATTCATACAAACCAAGGTATTGTTTCTCTTTTTGCTAAATATCACTTCTATAGACAGTTATTAACTAACACCTTTTATAAAAAATGAAACTAGGGTCTGGGAAGGTGGCTCAGTGGTAGAGTTACTTGCCTTGCATGCATGAGGCCCCGGGTTCAATTCCTCAGCACCATATAAGCAGAAAAAGCCAGAAGTGACACTGTGGCTCAAGTGGTAGAGCACTAGCTTTGAGCTGAAGAGCTGAGGGACAGCTCCCAGGCCCAGAGTTCAGGCCCCACGACCGACTCAAAAAAAGAAAGAAAAGAAAAGAAACTATTGACCATTCTGAAACTAGAACACCTATGAGTGCTTTATTAGTTCTTTTGGTCTTCTGCCTAAAATGTACTGTAGACTAAAAAGTTATCTGCCCAAGATAGGAAGAATACAGAATGTTTCCCAGTAATATTTGACTTTGTGTCTTGTTCTCAATGAACATTTGGCACCTGGCCTTTGGTCTGATTGGAACAGAAAGACCTAGTTTGTTCTTGTAATCACACAGTCACACAAGACTTCTCTGTATATTGAAGTAGCACTCAGGGGACAGTCAACAACAGAAACAAGCTGGTTATTTGTTTACCTTGCTTTCCTTTAGAGCCTTTGTTGCCCTTTTCTCCAACTGGTCCAGGAATTCCTGGTTTTCCATCTTTGCCAGGTATACCTTTTGGTCCACATGGTCCTAGGCAAAATCAATGTTGGATTGCCTTTCAGCTTACAAGGATAGAAGGCAAAGAAGCCAAGCATAGCCTTTGCCCTGAGATTTTTCCAGATTCAGGAATGAAAGTCTCATATCCCTCAGTCCTGAGCAAACTAGGATGGTTGGCCAATCAACTTGTTACTGATCTTTTCCCCCAAAGATCTTAAACACTAAACCATGAGATTATTAAAAAAAAATAGCTTAAGTTTGTGCAGCCATTTTTTTTTGTCCAATCGTGGGGCTTGAACTCTGGGCCTGGGCGCTTTCCCTCAGCTCTTCAGCTCAAGGCTAGCACTCTACCAGTTGAGCCACAGTGCCACTTCCGGCTTTTTTCTTTTTGCTTATGTGGTGCTGAGGAATCGAACCCAGGGCCTCATGCATGCAAGGCAAGCGCTCTACCACTGAGCCACCTTCCCAGCCCCTGTGCAGCCATTTTGAGATTTCTCATTTCAGAATTCACTATGCCCAGGTTTTGATCAAACTGATAAACAGTAACTATCTCTCATATGATTCAGATAGACTTGCACTATAATAGTTTCATTTAAACATCTATTAGATTCATTATTATATGGCTAGCCAATATATTGGGGATAGAGTCTACCTCCACATAGTAGTATATTTTTTTAAAGACTTTTTTCTAACATTTCATGATAAGGTGTTAGAAAAGTTGTACTTGACAGTATGAAAGTTACATTTTTATTAAAATATTGTTGGCAACATTTTATTTTTTCCTATAAAGTATTTTTTAAAAGTCCAGATCACAGAACCACAATATATTTGGCAATCATTGAGAAAATGAGTTCTGGAATTGACAGTTGTCAGGGAACATAGACCTTAATAAAGCACAAAACAGAGCCCCATAAAGATCAGCCTGGTTTAGCTACTTCCTAGAGACCCAGGCCACTGCTGTCAGGCCCGTACCTGGTTTTCCGGGTGGCCCCAACAGCCCGGTTTCTCCTTGCATTCCTGGTTGTCCAGGTGGACCAGGAGGCCCTGGGCTTCCCGGAAGGGAGATGATCTTAATTGTGCCAGGGTCTCCACGTGGACCTATAAACATAATAAAAAGATGGCTTAGTGGATGAGTTACCCTCTCTTCTCAGAGAGCATAATAGGGACATATATTTACCAGGTGGTCCTTTCATCCCAACTTGTCCTGGAGGTCCAATTGATCCTGGAAATCCAGGATTGCCCTTCTCACCTGAAAAGAACAAAAAGGAGGGGGAAATGTCGTTCTACTCAGTGCAATGGGTTTCCTAGTTCTTCAGGCTGATGATCAACTTTAAGGATAAATACTGGAACTTGTGACAGGAGTTCATGTCACAATGTGACAAAGGCCACAACTTAATCGTGTTCACATGAGTTTGGGGCATTTCGTTTATACATAGTCAGGTCTAACCAGTCTATACAAATATACCTGAGAAATAGGCATTAGGAACTTGCATGGTGCCACCTGCCTATAATTTCAGCAGTTGAGAAACTGAGGCAGGAAGATGATGTGTTTGAGGCCAACATAGGTTCATACCTGTTTGGTTTTTATGCTTGGTTTTCATGTGTCTACTTCCTTATTTATTACCTTTGCCATTACCTGTGGAATTGTTTCAGGACCACTCACAAGCACATATATATTTGTTTGATATAAGCTAACACAGTGTTTAAGATTTTTCTTCCAAACACAGTCTTTTATGCAAATGAAAACATGTGAACAAGTTCAGTTATTTGGAGACATATTCTATTATAAAAAACTATATTTGCTTAGGTCTGTGTGTGTGTGTGTGTGTATGTGATATATATATATATATACACATACACACACACACACACACACACACACACACATTTATGTATTTATTTATTTTGCCAGTTCTGGGGCTTGAACTCAGGGCCTGAGCACTGTCCCTAAGATTTTTTTTTTTCTCAAGGCTAGTCCTCTACCACTTGAGCCACAGTGCTACTTCCAGTTTTTTCCATTTATGTGGTACTGAGGAATTGAACCCAGGTCTTCATGAATGCTAGACAAGCACTTTACCACTAAGCCACATTCCCAGACCTGAGACTTCACTATTATAGAGCATTAGTTGTGAAGATTACAATAAGGTAACTACAGTACTGAAGTTGACTGACAAATACATATTAGAAGAAGCCTAAATAATTTTGGTGATGAAAAATTTTCCAAATAAGGAAGGGCAAACTCATCAGTAGTTGCAGCTGAAATCTAAGAGCATAAGTGAATATGTTTTAAAGGATATATTTCAAATGACCTAATTTTAAGGATCCCCATCAAGTTGTGTCTGAATGTGTTCCCAGAAATTTTCTTTAGTGCAGCTCTAATATTCTCTTAAAATCTGAGTTGTTTCAAGAATTTTTCCTTCATGAAAACATGGCTTTGTTCACATTGTATCCACTGAGTAGTTAGTGTCTTAATAGGCTGTGATAAGAGATTCCTGGTCCTACAAGACTCATCAGAGCAATTTAGCAACTAGGACAATAAGGCAAAAAATATTCAATAAGGCAAATATTCAAAACATCATTTGGCATCAAACCACACTCTTTTTAAATCAAGGATAAAGGAAGTAAAACTTTAGCTTTCTAGATTGTATTGGTACAGCTCTAGCTTAGTATGTATAAGATCCTGGGTTTAAGAAACATTACCATAAGAAAATGTGTGTGTGTGTGTGTGTGTGTGTGTGTGTGTTGCCTGTATGTGCCTCATTACATCATACACGCATAAAAATTTACTTTATCACCACTAACAGCCTAGTGTGTACTCCTTTAGAATTTCCGCTTGAGTGTATGAAAGTAACAAAGACACCTGTAAACAACTTGAAAATATTGTTACTACTGATGTAGCTCTTCTTCCCTCTTCCCAAAGTGCAGCACCCCCATAGTACTCTCAACTGTTGTCATTTCTCATTTTTTCTATAGTTTCCATTCTTAGGTGGTTGTTTTAATTTTCAAAGTGGGGAGACAGTACTTTGAGGTCCTATTTGTCCTGACATGCATTGTCTGTGGATGACCACAGGAATTGGGAAAAACATTTGTGTGCTCTAAAATATGAGTTACAGCAACTATCTTTCCATATAAAGTGCAGATCGTAAAAATAGTACCTCTCATGCCTGGAAACCCAGGAAATCCAGGATCGCCTCTGGGCCCTGGGAGACCCGGGTCACCTGGTGCTCCCTACATTGCAGAGAAAGGGAACAGAACAACAGATGAATGTTCAGCATCACAATGTGGATGGAGTTTCTTAGGAAGCAAATAGGGATATACCTTTATGTGGGATGAAAATAAGGTGAACTTGACAGACATTGTTTTTATCTTTAAATCCAGTGTTGCACATGCTTGTAGCTTCTCTGCTACCTAGATCTCTCCTTAAAACTTATTTAAAAACAACAACAACAACAATAATAAAATAAAAACTGCTCTGAAGTCCAATGGGGGAACATACGTTCTCATATTAGTAAATATTGCTTTAGTATTGCAGACGAGTAGATATTGTACATTCTAAATGGAATTAGCTAGTATTTGAGGATCTTTCAGGAAGACTATGTGCCAGACTAAACTTATTATCTGTGCTTGTACCAAAACTGTGGATCAGTTGTTGAATCATACAGCACAAATATTGTTTTGTTAAGCTGGCAGAATTATCAGTTATTCCTGATGAGGATGGTAGAAATCAAATGTGCAGGGAATGGGAGTAGATAGGGATCATAGGGACTGAAGGTTTTAACATCGATGATCTGAGTGGGTACAAAGTATTCTCCTCTGTGAGGCCCACAGAAATTGGTCTTAGAGCCATGAGACACTAAGGGAGGCCAGATAAGGAAGAGGGAACAAAGCTCCTGAAAGAGCTATTTGTAATATCTACTTCCATTTTGTCTTTATAGCATTGCTATTATGGAAAACAATGAACGAAAGGTTACAAAAAAAAACCCACCAAGAATAACAAAATCTGCTGCCGAGCCAGGTGTCTCTGGAGGATGAAGACAAGCTCTATTGCTGGTATGTTTTATGAAGTTAAAAAAGGAGGGAGAGGAAAGAGAGCCATCTGATCAAGGACTCTATGGCTACTGATATCTGCCTGACTTTCCACAGCCAAAGGTAACCAAATAGGCTCAGCCCTTCGGTGGACAAAGAGTTGTTCTGTGCAATAAGGATACTATTACAGGCCAGTTAAGATATCTATCAAGGAGAATTCTTCTTCAGTTGTAAGTATGCAAGCTTAGCACCGGAGGATTGTAGTGAGATCCTGTTTATAAACTAGTCTTTCCACCTCCCAGTGTCCCTGGAAGAACTTTAGATGCGATCATAGGATCAATGCTGGCAATTTTCAAAGTATCATGGGTAACACAGGAGGCACCTACAGATAGGAGATGGACAAATACATCACTTTTTGATTTATACAAGAAGAACTGAAGAGAATGTAATAGGATTCCTAACAACAGTTGGGAATGAACCGATTGTTACAGTCAGATGCAGCTGGAGGCACTGGTACAGAGTAGACACTCAATAATGATAGTGCAACCAAACTCCTCTGTTCAACCCTTGTCCCCAAGAGTTAGAGTGAAACAGAGGAATCATAGACTCACAATTGAGAAGTTTACACTGGGAGCGTGGGCCTATGGCATCTCCAAAAGAAAGGGTATAGTTGTGCCCTTACATCACAAAGGAACAAATAGCAACACAAACCTTGATAAGAAACAGCAGAACAAATGTAGCAGCAATTCATACACATACACACACACAGGCTGAACTATAAGATCATTTGAAACTGGGGCGGGGGGGAGTGGTAGGTGGGCAAAAGGACCGCCAAATGGCCTGGCAAGCATTTCAGGTTAGATTCCTAAAATGGTAATGTTCACCACGACTCTATATTCCTAGCCACCCATTGAGACGCTGAGTTCTTACTTCTGGAATGTCTTACTCCCAAGGGCTTGTTTTTAAAGGAAATATTGACAAACTATTCAGAATAGAGGCAAGGTTGATGAACAATTGAACTGAATCTGCAAGAACCAGGTATGTATCCATATAGAAAATAGGAAGGGATGTCAGTTATTTATTAGTATCAGAAGGTATGTGATAGGGAAAGAAAAGACATTTACAAGACTGGCGCAGATAACTTTGAAAGCATATTAATAGACGGTAAAAATGACATCATTTTCATGAGTCCTGGCCTGCCCAAGTTACACAGTGGAACCTTCTCTAAAAACAAAACCAAAGAAGAACCTATCAATAAACAAACACCCCCTCCTCCATCATTTTGGGCAAGTCTAAACACCTAAGCTACCCTTTTTTTTTTTCTGTTTTTGTTCTCCACCCCCACCCCCACCCTGCCCAGGGGAATTGTTCAGCATTTTAATAAGCAAGAGTCAAGAAGGTTGTAATAGTGAGTCCCACACAGAAAAAGTGTTGGAGGCCTTATAGAGACCAATCTTTACATCTCTTAAGATGCTTTGATTTCCTGGTCAGCTGGGTTTTCTCTGCCCTCGGGCACATACATAGATGCACAGACAAATGGGTCCCAAATGATCTTTTTTTTTTTTTTTGCTGCTTATAGGTGTAGTAATAGTATATTCTTTGCCACAATATACTCTGTACTGTAGAGTATGCTACTGCTCTGTATTCCTGGTGATTATTTAGAATATTGAAAGTAACAATATAATTACAAGGTAACCATAAGTCAATACTATATCACTAATACACTTACCGGATGACCTGGTGGCCCCACGTCTCCTACAGGCCCAGGTAGACCTTTGGGGCCAGGTTGGCCCATCAACCCTTTGTCACCTTTTATGCCCTTGATGTGGCTTCCAGGAGGTCCGGGGGGACCTGGCTCACCTGCATTCACAAAGAGTCTGTCAGTGTTGCAAAGGGATTTGGGAGCATTCTGTGAGGCACTGTTTCAAATGAAGTGTCAGTCCCACACCTTAACACTGCCTGTCCCTTGCTGCTGTGTGTGGTGCTATGGGAAAGAAAGAATAAGATCACGCCAAGGAGGTGCATGAACTTAGCAAGAGCTGCTTCTCCTGAGAACTGCCTGTTAGTGCGGGGTGGGGGGGAAGGAAGGGAGTCTGTACCTAAGGTTTGGTAGAAGGTCAATAAACATAGGTCTCTCTCTTTAGGGACCATTGATTATATCTACTAACCTTTCCCACGGATCTCTGTGCCTTAACAACCACAGCCTAACTGCAACTAACTCCAGGTGAAAAGAGTGAGGACAGGAGAAATAAAGAAGACCGGAGCAAACAAACAAAACAAAATGAAACCAAAAGGAACATACAAGAGGTGATAGTCGAAGGATGAAGACTTCTCTAACATCAAATCTGACTTTCATTCTCTCATTTAAAAAGAAGTAAGCTCCCTACCTGGATTTCCTCTTGAACCTGGTGACCCTCGATTTCCTTTTCGACCAGGGATAATTGCCCCAGGTAGACCAGGTGGCCCGGGGAATCCTAGGATGCCCATGGGTCCTCGAGGCCCGGTGTCTCCCATGGTCCCCTTCTGTCCTGGGAGGCCGGGCCAGCCAGGAGCCCCCTTGTTTCCTTTGGCACCTGTGAAGAAGAAGCCTCTGTAAGTTTCCTTCATGTCCCTATAGTTGGAATAAGTTTACCATTTACCTGAATAAGTTTACCTGAAAGCATTAATATTTACTATTTTTTATATTAAAAGAGGCTGGAAGACAAAAAAAAAAACAGGTCTACAATTCTTCCTCTGACAATTGTCTGATTTTGTCAGACACTGCACAATTATAGGTTTCCTGTTGTTTTATTTTCAACATGAAATGTGTATGGTTCTAGCTCAGTTCTTTAAAGATCACAAGTGAATATCCAAATGAAAAGCAAGTGTAAATATCAGTTACAATGATTACCACCTGATGAACCTTATTTATAATGATATTATTCAGTTGCTGATAATAGAGTAGAACATTAACCTAAACATCATAGTACTGATGTGGTTATTGGAAGTGTCTAGACCCGGACAAAGGAGTAACAAAGTTACATTCTGTCTTATGGTTGATTCTTCCTTATAGTTGGAACATGTAGAGTGTATAAACATGGCCCCAATCATCACAGCTTAATACAAGTTGTTAATATCGTTGTTGTTGTTGTTGTTATAGTACCTTAGGCAGTCCTGGGGTTTGAACTCAGGGCTTTGTGCTTACAAGGCTGGCACTCTGCCACCTGAATCATACCTCTAACTAAGTTACTAGTTAGACTCCCAGAAAACCTTTGAGAAATGGTGCTTTAAAGCATTCATGGATGAAAAGTGTTGATGAATTAAACATAATCTCTGCCTTTTGTCTATTTTTCCTAAGATAGTAAATAGCATGGAAAGAGGAGGCAAACGCAAGGGTGGGGGTGAGACCAAGGCTGGGGGCTCAGAGGAAAGTCTTAGCATGTTACCATGTGGTAAATTCCTACTGTGGTAATGAAGACGAGATTGACGAATGATAAACCCTAACTCGATGTCTAGTCACATCCTTTGACCTTTTAACGCCTGCAGTTAATGCTTTTTACAGACAGTGTGTAGACGATGTTTTTCTCACTTCAAGCTCCATAATGCTGACTTTGCGGGAAATGCCTCAAACACCAAAACATCTTATTTTGTGCTCAATACAATAGTATTTTTTTCTGAAGTGTGATTTCTCTCCAGGATTTGGGAGCATAAACTAATGAAATCCATTTGTTACCTTCTAAATCTCGGTGAACTCTTCAGTTATCCAAGAAGGATAGAGGCACATGATTGTTTTACTTCCTTGACTTGGCTACTTACTATTTTCGAAGACTTTTTTTTTGTCCTAAGATAGGATCATTGAAATCAAGTTTTGTTTTCAAGGCAAGTGAATGCAAATATAATGTTTTCATTTCGAAGGTTAAATTTTGAGCTTGGTTTGAGAATATGAACATCTCCTTTTTCCCATGAATCTAAAAGTAGACAATGGGACAGTGTAAGGCTTGTGCTCATTGGAAAAGAAGGGTCTGGAAGACGTGAGAACACAGAACTCAACTGAAAGGAATATTGAGTAAAAAGTAGAGTGTATGTGTGTGTGTGTGTGTGTGTGCAGGCGCGTGTGCGCACGCCATTGGGAAAAGGGAGGGAGAAGAGAGGGTGATGAGATTAATGTGATCAGGTATGAAAGCATCACGAATCCTCTATTCAATTTTTTAAATTAATGTAAAAAGTCATTAGGGAAGAAAGTGCAGAGAGGCGTGCTTGTCTGATTTCATCCTTTAACTGGTGCCGGTTCTTATGACATCAGTAACGAGAGGTCTTCCCTGAGTCTAGGAATCATTGCCAGTGCATAGAACCCATGGCTGAGAAGTCTTGAGAAGATAGACATGATCTGACATTTTTCTTCTTAAGAGGCAAAGAGTTAAAAAAGAAAGCTGCTCATCTTGTAAAGCTCTGGCATGAGAAATACAGACTTGCACTCTATCAACCCCAAAAATCTTACGTAAATACTTGGAGTAGTATATTCAGAAAATTGCCCTGACTGAGATGGTAAAAGAGTTACTAGTTACCTCTTAGTAACCAATAGCCTAAGCCACCAGCTCTGTGTGGGGTGGAATTGGGTGAGTTGGTCTACTACTGGGTCTTGGAAGAGCAGGGAAGAATGCTCACTGGGAAGGCAGCGATTCTACCTCCATGCTTTTCAAAGGTGCAACTTTCCACTATGGTAACAACAACAACAAAGCACATATACAAGAATTCTATTCATCTTTAGAAAAGGAATTCCAAACTTGAACTACAGTGTCTAATTCATTCCCTTTGTTGTCATACTAAACATTTTTAGTTGACTAACAAGACTATAACTATCTTATATTACCATTGGGACGTTTTTTCATTTGTGATATTAAATTATTTTATAAACCAAGTACAAAGATCTGGATTCTGTCCTGGGAATGTTTATCTTTAGGTCAAGGAAGAAGAACCACTCACCCTGGGCACCAGGATTCCCTCTTGGGCCTGGATAGGCCCCCAACAATCCTGAAAGAGACAATTTTAACATATGAACATTCTGTTTACTGTGCTAGATTATACATAGATATATAGCACGTATATATATATATATATATAGAGAGAGAGAGAGAGAGAGAGATAGCACATATGTGCTATATATCTAGTTATACTATGTGCTATATATAGTATCATATACCCTAAATTTATAGTATAGTATATAACATATACTATATATCTAACATATACTATATACTATATATACCATACATGTAGTATATGTATACATAGCATGCTATATATAGCATATATATGGTGCATTATATATACATATATATGTAGTCTAGTATACTATATATACATATATACTATATACTATATATACATATATGTAGTCTAGTATACTATATATACATATATATGTATATATGCATATATATGGTATATATACCATATAATATATAGTATACTATACTACATGAATGGTATATATAGTATATAGTATATATGTATATACTATATGTTTAGTAATAACTATAGCATATATAGTATATACTCCATAGGTAGTAGTAACTATATATGTATTATATTATATGCATAATATAGAAAGGAAGTTTAATTATCATAACTAAGAACATGAGCCATTCTATCAGAAGAGAATCCTTAGAGCAATGAAAGAGTAAAATGTTTCTAGTGTTTCTAGCCAAAACAAATTCTCTTTGGTCAGAAATAATAAGCAAATTGTACCTGTTTCTCCCTTTTCCCCAGCTGGACCAGGAATTCCATCACGTCCCTGGTTACCTCTCATCCCCACTGGTCCAGGAGATCCTGGCAATCCAGGAAGTCCTGGTGGTGGTGGTGGTGGTGGTGGTGATGGCAGTAGTGGGTATATGGATGAAAACAAAACAAATGACATTCAAAGAGAGGACTTCTCTTTCTCTTTCTTTTCTTTTCTGGTCACTTGTAAGGCTCAAACTCAGGGCTTGGATGCTGTCTCTGAGCTGTTTTGCTCAAGGCTAGTGCTCTACCACTTTGGGGCACAGCTCCACTTTGGACTTTCTGGTACATAAGAATCTCATGGCTTTTCTTGCTCGGGCTGGCTTGGACCTGTGATCCTCAGATCTCAGCCTCCTGAGCCACTGGTGCCTCCCTTGAGCCACCGACACCAAGTGAGAGGACTTACTTTCTATCAATGGCCTATATGAATACCAGGGTGATCAATGTGGATTTTTGTTAAAGGCACTATTTCTCCAAAACTGCAGTTATGTGATGAGTGATTTTCAGTGGTCAATGTATACAGATTGTCATAATGAGGATAACATGTTGAGTAGGGGTTTCTACACTGGCAGGAATTAAATTAGGTAAAAGTATCTAACCCAATTTTGTCCATGCCAATAATGGGTTCTAGAAGCAGTGAGTGTGCAGAGATTCTAAGCTCTGGAAGAGGGGGTAGAACAAGAAGGAAGCTCAAACCTGGAGGGCCTTTGATTCCTGGGGGACCCCGGAAGCCTTTGACTCCTTTGTTCCCCAATTTGCCATCAGGGCCTCGCTTTCCTAGCATTGAAGAGAAAGAGGGCTTGACACTGATCAGGATACAGAGTATTCATAGCCTTCTTTGTTAAATGCAACTCCTTTGGACAAGGACTTAAAGATAATAATCAAAAGGAAAAAAAACACCAAAAGAAGAGTGGTTATTGTAAGAGAGACTGATTCAGTTAATTCCTACTGTCATCAACTGTGTTTAAGTTGCCCTTAAGGAAACTTGTCACAGGTCAGCTCAAGCTTTTGTCTTGGCAATTTTTTGCCCAGGAGACCATGGCAGAGATAGACCTAACCATCAACACATACACTACACAATATTTCCTTTTTATGGGTCCATGAGGCTTGAATTCAGGGACAAATGTTGTCCTTGAGCTTTTTGCTCAAGTCTAACACTATTATCTTGAACTACAGCTCCACTTCTGGTTTTCTGGTGGTTAGTTGGAGATAAGAGTCTCACCGCTTCCTGCCTGGGTTGGGTTTCTACTGAGATCCTGAGATCTCAGCCTTCTGAGTTGCTAGGATTATAGGCAGGAACCACAGGTGCCTCCCTTGAGTCTTTTAATTAGGAGGGAACTGTAACTTTATTAAACCTTTTAGTGTTTTGATTGGAGGGTTTAAATACTATCTGTAAAAAGACCTGAAGCTGTCTTTCTTGCAATATCTAGTATATGTCTGAGTCAAGCAGAAAAGGTCAGATAAGTTGATGTTAGGGAAATGAACCCTAAGATATCTAATTCAAATGTTTTTTTTTCTTTCATGCGATTGTTTCTAACACATTTATAAGATGATTTCTTTGTTGCTTTGTATGTCCCTCCCCCACAGTATAACCCCTGCTTTCACTGTATTTGATGTCGGTATAATTTGTGGAGGGAAAGGGGAAAAACAAATAGTTTAAATAGGGATACAGGTGGACCCATTGCAACAATGAGACATACAAGTCGTATGTTGAAAATGAACTTTACAACTTTGGCGCGGGGGTGGGGTGGGGGGGGAGGGGTGGGGGGTGGGGGGTGAGGAGGGTTGGGTGGGGGGGTGGAAAACAAAGGAGGAGGCTACAATGCTTGATAAGAAATGTACTCATTATCTTGCCCATGTAATTGTAACCCCTCTGTACAGTATGTTCACAATTAAAAAAAAAAAAAGACCTGAAGCTACAGTGTAGTCTTTTGACAGGTTTTTGTTTTGTTCTGTTTCAGTTTGCTCTTTGATTGATTAGTTACCGTGCTGAGAATCACCCTCACTGTCTTTTGACAAGCTAAGCATCCTACCAGTGAGCCATACCCTCAGCCCAGCTCTTATTCTTAACAAAACAAAAACAAAAACTTGAACTCAAATTCCAATCGAACAAGAAAACTAAACTGGACGCCAGTGGCTCACGCCTGTAATCCTAGCTACTCAAGAGGCTGAGATCTGAGGACTGTGATTTGAAGCCAGCTGGGGCAGGAGAGTCTCTGAGACTCTCATCTCCAATAAACCACTCAGAAAAAAAAACCAGAAGTGGCCTTGTGGCTCAAAGTGGTAAATGTCTAAGCCTTGAGCCAAAGTTCAAGGACAGAGCCCAGACCCAAATTTTAAACCCCAGGACCAGAAAAAAAAAAAAAAAGCAAAAGAAAGCCAATATTTAATCCAGAAATACAGTAAGACAAAAACCAGAACCAAAGAAACTGACGTAGAATAATAAAGTTATGGGTAGGATTTGGTTGCCCCCCTAATTTACATGCTGAAAATTCTAACCTCCAGGACCTCACCACACCATTTTACTGAGGGTTGAAGTTGTTAAAAATGAGGTGTAACAGGCCACTTGTGTGTCCCCACTCCAATGTGAATGTGCCTTTGGAAGAAGAGATCAGGACACAGACAGACAGAGGGAAGTCAGGGAGAAGCTGGCTTTGACAAACCAGGAGGGAGGTCTCAGAAGAAGCCAGCCCTACCAGCACCTTGATTTTAGACTTCTGGTTTCCAGAATGGTAAGAAACAAATTTCAGTTGATTAGCATACCACCGCCCCCTGCCCGCCAGTCTATAGCATTTGTTATGGAAGTGCTAGCAAACTCCTGCAGAACTGTGTCCTGGCCTTGAAGTTGTTGAGGCAGAGCTTCAGGAGTTTGGCCTAAGTCTCAGGGAAGAGGAGTGGGCCATGCTACGTATCTTGCTTTCAGAACTATTAGGCAAACTCTTACCTGGGTGGCCAGGAACTCCAGGACTCCCAGGGGCTCCCTCAGGTCCAGCAGGCCCCGCCTGTCCAGGTGGGCCAGGTGACCCTCTTTCTCCTTTCTTTCCCATGTCACCTGGCAGTCCAGGATCCCCCTTAAATTCAGTCAAACACCTTTAAAATTCTCATATAAGCAAGATAGGGGATTAGAATTAAGTACTAACTTTTATTCTGTCATTTATCATTCATCTTAAGTGTCTGCTATGGGTCAGTCCATGAAGGATGCTGAGGAAGGATGGCTTCAGGGTTTATGGGCCCCAATGCAAGATGAAGAGGCAGCTTTCTTTGGAACATTTTTAAAGGTTTCCATGAGGATAAGAGCAAAGCATTAAACCAAGTAGAGTGCTTAGCATAGGAGTTTTGTGATACACAGGCTTCTGGCCCCAGAAGCCTACACACGTCACATACATGACCTATTCAACATATGTATGTGATATCTATAGACCCTGCCCTCCTGGGAAAATAGATATTAAATACTCACACAAATGTATAAGCATACATATAAATAGTTAAATTATAAATATAAATTATACATTTATGCTTTACATGTAAAGTATAAATATATAATTATAAGCTATAAATATACATATAATTATAAATAATAAATATATAATATTAAATAGTTACAAATGGTTTATAATTATAAATTATAAACTAGAGACAGGAAATATTTAGATCAAAAGTACATGTGTCCTATAAGTACTATACAGGTAGATGTAACTTTGTATGCTGATTGCATGTTAAATTATTATTTTTTATTTTAATTTTGTGTATATTTTATCCTTTGAAAAAATTGCTATTGTAAAGGTGATGTACAGAAGGGTTACAATTACATAAATCAGGTCCTTTTGGTAATTTAATCATCACCAAATCTCAATTTCAGATTTATGGTAAATCAGAACATATGGGATTAATGATAACATGACAATTTCATTGATTAAAATAAACAATTGTGTTTCTATGGTTTGTTAACATGATAAAGCTACCTCATTTTGTGTCCAATGAACGGTTCTAAACATTCTTTCTATTTGTTGCCTATGACACCTCAAACTTAAGTGGAACTACTAATTAACTGACCATGAATAAAGTCAAATAGAATTCTTCATTGAGAAAATATCTCACTGGACAGTTGGTTTTCTGAGAATATAATCCAAGTAGAAAGTAGAAAATGTTCTACCTACCATGTAATAAAACATATTTGTAAGGGGTTTCTTCAATAGTTAAAATTTTTCTTTCTTGTTTTGATAATTACTACTAGAAAATGTAGAAACATTTTTTAAAAAAGTGGTGTTTACTACTTTAAAAGAAGAAGAGGGTTTGTTGAGTAGTAACTTGAATGTTAAAATAGCCAATGAAAAATATAGATTCTTCCTCCAAAAATTTTTACCCAAACATTTTGTGTTCAATTTCGGAGGTTGGTGGGTTTCTTGGGATAGCATAATTTTCTTTGGGGGCCATGAAATCTCACGTTAAGAAGCTCTGCTTATGGAAATTTCCATTGATTATCCTATTCTGGGCTAGCTGTGTGTGTCTAAGTGGTGTTGTCAGAAAGGCCAGAAGGACATAAATGTATAAAAAGTAACCAAGCTCCACTGAAGCATTTAATTGCTCTTTCACACAATATATTTCCAAAGACTTTGGCACTCCATCTTGAAGTGACAGGACAAGCGCTTGGAAGGAGCATTGAAACAAGTCATAAATACTGTCTGGTGGAATGGAAATGTTGAAAGCTCCAAACTAAAGAAGATGCATGCATCTTAAGATTTTGTTTGCTTTTTAAAAAAATCATGCTGTAAAGTTATTCTGCTTTATATTTTTATTATGCCTTATTAAGACAAAGAGGGGTGTGTGTGTGTGTATAGTTGAATTCTAGGCTTCAGATTCTCTTTGCTTTTCCTACTCAAGGCTGGCACTCAACCTCTTGAGCCACACCTCCACTTTGGATTTTTCGCTAATTAATTAGAGACAAGAATCTTTCCATTTTGTCTGTCTGGGCTGGCTTCCAACCTTGATTCTCAGCCTCCTCCATAGCTAGGATTATAAGCATCAGCTAAGAAATATCTTTTCAATTATACAACATTACAACTTGGTGTGAGATGAATCCATAACAAAGACCGCTCAGTGTGGATAACCAAGAAAAAACTGTTATGTCAAGCACGGTAGGCCTGTAACCACTGCCCCACATTTGAACCGAGGGATAGAGAAAGAGTTGCATTGATGTTCCCTGAGAGATCCTTTGATGGATAAAACAGGCTGTCCAAAGTTGACAGCTATGAGAAACAAACAATCAAGAATGCATTACACACAGGCGTGTACACACACACCTACACACACACTTCCAAATAACTGAAAGCAGAGTAATATTTTCAATTTTGTCTGTACTGACTCTACATCATATTTTCAAACTCCCCACCCCTCACCAAAACATAACCGTGTCAATGGCTTATATACCGTTGGTCCTGGCGGGCCTGGCCTTGCTCCTTCAGAATAGCCTGGCTCTCCCTTTTCTCCTTGGAGCCCAGGAACCCCAGGGAGGCCAGGTCTTCCAGCTAGACCCGGGAGTCCTCTGGTTCCTTGTTTTCCTTTAGAACCTGAAATTAGGAAACCCATCAGCAAAGATATGTACCTAAATGTGGGACTCTTGAGCATTCTACTTGACATTTGCATGAACCATTCTCTCAAGTTTTTCTTTCAAAAGTCACAAATGCATTGTCATTATAAATAGTGATTATTAAACAGCATATTTTTAAAATTTTCACTCATGTTCTATCTGTATACAGCACTGCTATTTAAACGCCAATCTGGTTGTCTTACATCAACTATGTACAACATGCAGCATCGAAAATCTACCATCACGACCTGTAACCACAAGGAACTTAACAAATTACCTGGTACACCCATGTTCCCCATGCCGCCAGCCATGCCAGGTGGTCCTGCTTCTCCAGGATTCCCAGTTCTCCCCAAATCTCCTCTCGGGCCTTGAGAACAAGAGTCAGAGGTTTTGCAATGTTCTTGGGCACAGTAGGTGTTCAATAAGTTGCTTGCAGAATGAATGAATGGAGAACAGCTAGACTAGTGGGCCTTAGACTGAGGCCTTAGAAGAGTACAACTAGAGACAGCTAGATCCTCCTAAAGGTAGCCTGGATTTCATGGCATTCGGGTCATCCTAAGACCAATGCCAGCAAGAAAATCCTGTCCTCTTAAAATTACATTTCCAACAGCATACTGAGGTCATACTGCCAATGTAATCTATTTTACTGAGATGCTTAGGGACACTAATAGTTTAAAAAATTACTTTGAACTCTCTGTACCTTGTCAAAAAATAAACACAGAAAACAAAAACCTCTAGACTATTAATTGTACCTCTACAATATGATGATAAATGATCATTTATAACAGAGTAATCATTTCCTATTTGAAAACAAAACTTCAAGCAGTGACATAAAACTGTGTATGGCATAGTATCTTTTAGGTGACAGGTGATCTTTTAAAACACTTGCATTTTGGTTGAATGTGGAAGCAAATTTCTGCTGGAACACTAATGGAATTACTTACGTTGACTATACTAAATCTAGAAACAACTTTGATTACATTTAAATGGAGGAAAAACTTGAGTTATGGCCTGGGTGATACCTGGTGGTCCTGGTGGTCCAGTGGGTCCTGGGAGACCCTGTAAGCCTGGCAAGCCCGGAGTGCCTCTGTTTCCTTTCTCACCTGGATTTCCTGTAAATCCTAAAGAAAGACCAGATATTAAAAATACAGGTTATAGCCGGACATTGGTGTAATCCTAGCTACTCAGGAGGCTGACATCTGAGGATCACGGTTCAAAGCCATTCTAAGTGGGAAACTCCATGAGACTCTTATCTCCAATAAACCACTCAGAAAACCAGAAGTGGCGCAGTGGCTCAAGTGGTAGAGCGCTTGCCTTGAGCTGAAGAGTTGAGGGACAGCGCCCAGGCCCAGAGTTCAAGCCGCATGACCAACCAAAAAAAATTATAATAATAAAATAAAAAAATACAGGTTAGAATTTTATCTGATTCATCCCTATTTAGGTTTACATTCATGGAACTATTATTGTAATAGAATGTCACAAATTTATTAAGATCATGGAGACATTAGCTATTTTTTAAAAGGAAGATTAAATGAGATAATATGTATAAAACCTTGGCACAGCATCTGTCATCTGGTAGCTCTCACTTTACACTAGCAATTATGATAATTTACATGTTAAAATAACATTTAAGACGTGGTGATCTCAATGCCTCTTCTTCCTAAAGTGGAATGCTATCTCTTCTCATTACATGATAGTCATCTAAACAATTACATTCTCAACCCATTTGTTAAAATTATTATTGGGTAAGTGAAAAAATATTATTGAGTAAGTAATGGATTAAGTGAAAGGCTGTATCTAGAATAACTGTCAATTAGTGACAGTGCTGGATTGAACAGTTCTTCATGGCTGGAAAGATCATTAGCCTCCCAGAACACCATTCAAGCAGATATATATACATACATATATATATATACATATATATATATGTATGTATGTATATATATGTATATATGTGTGTATATATGTATATAGGAGTATATACATATACATATATATATGAGCTTTGGATCATATTATTCTCCTTCCCTTTGATACTCATTGAATACCCTTTACCTACTAAATAAACTACAAGCTTCCTTAATCATCTGCAGCATCCTACACACTACCCATGGCCTAGTTTTGTGCCTTTTCTCACACATCCTTATTTTCCCTTAGCTATTTTCCTGATCACAAACTCATTCGCTCATTGACATATGGATTGTGTCTGTAATTAATAGACAGGTCTTGTTGTTCTGTGTTCTGGAAATAAAAGTAATTGTTTTCCCTTTCCCAAGTTTTTCGTGTTTAGTTGGGGAAATGGCCAAGTAAATGAGCAATTACCACCCAGTGAGATAAATTCTGTATGGAGTTGGGCACAATGTGTTACTGGAAAGAATTTGTGGAAAAGGGAACTAATGTTTAGCTCATTTCTGAAGACCAAATGAGAGCTAATTGGGTGAGGAAAGCATGGATGAGTGGAATCCCAGGCAAGAAATAGCCTAGCAATACCAAAGGAGTGGCGACTAGCAGAAGGTAAGCTTGCTGTGTTTTGTTCCTCTGTTTTTGTTTTTATTTCCACTTACATCATTTATCACAATATAAAAATACACATTGTTTAGTGTGTTTATTTGCTGTAGCCTGCAGGCCAAATCTGGCTTGGTTGTGTATGGTTTAAGAGCTGCCGGTATATTTTTCATTGTTAAAGGTTATGCAAACCAAACCCAAACAAAACCAAAGAAAAATATGCAACAGGGACCATATGTGGCCCACAAGATCTAACTAAGACAGTTACCACTTCGTCTATATAGAAGGTGTTTAGCACCCACTCATGTTTCTTTCTGTGCTTTTGGCTTGCAAGAGCCCTTTTTTTTTACCTCATATTCATATTTTTTTCTAAAATGTTTCCAACCCTCCCCAGATAGTGTACAATAGTTTTAGTAAGTAATATCTATGCAGGCAATTCGTGAAAATTAGAGATGTCTTCCTTTCTTGTTCTTTTTCTCTTTCTTCACTTTCTTTTTTCTCTTCCTCCCTCCCTTCTTCCTTTCTTTCCTCTCTTCCTTCCTAACTTCCTTCCTCTCTTTTTCCTTCCCTCCCTCCATCTCTTCCTTTCTTGCTACTTGCTTGCTTGTTTAACTCAGCTTAGCATAGTTTAGCATGGTGTAGCACAGTTTAGATCAGTTCTACCTGAATGTGCCTTCCATTTCATTGCACAATGAAAGCAGACAAAAATATCACAAGTCGTTTAAATAAGGATACAGGTGGACCCATTGCAACAATGAGAAGTACAAGTTGTAATGTTGAAAACGAACTTTACAACTTTGGTGTAGGGGGGGGAGGATTGGGGGGGGCGGAGGGAGGCTGGGAAGGGGAAACAAAGGAGGAGGCTACAATGCTTGATAAGAAATGTACTCATTATCTTGCCCATCTAATTGTAACCCCTCTGTACAGTATTTTCACAATAAAAAATAAATAAAAATTTTTAAAAAATCACCAGAATTAGTTGATCCCCTTTACAGCAGGTTAAATGAGAATGAAATGGAAGGCTTTTGCATTCAGCTTTCCACTAAGCAAAAGGAGTACTTCCTATAAATTGATTTTTTCCCCCAATGATTTTCCATTGCCTCAACTGGCAAATTAGTTGGACTGGATCCCTTTTGAATTTACCAGTTATCACTTTTAGGAAGTCTTTTCTAATCCTGAAAAGTGTTGCTCAGTCTTTTTTTGCATGGTCTGCTTGTCTTTCTAGCATGATCTGTGTACGTTTTTGTGTGTGTTGATGTTAAGATTTTGAGCTCGGGGCCTCACACTTGTCAAGTAATCATGTTACCAGCTGAGCCACTATCCAGTTATTTTCAGATAGGGTCTCTGGCTTTTGCTGGGGCTGGCCTCTAACCTTGATCCTCTTACACTTCTTGTATAGCTGGAATTGCATGTGTAAGCAATCATGCCGAACCCTGTACACACTTCTGTTGGACTATAAATCCTGTGTGTCAAGAATATCAATATTTGTTGAATACAATTCCTCAAAATGGATCACAAATTCCCAAAGACATGATCTGTCTTTGTAACCACAGGATATTTTTCTTCCATTTCTTCCATGATAGGACAGTTTGATCTGTAGAGGAAACATCTTGACCTACAACTCTGATTTTCTAGTTTCTTAGGGTTAAATTTTATTAAGGGGACTCCAAAAGAGGTTGGATTGAAACTTGGTTTTATAGTGGTTGTAACTGTATTACTCATATAACAGAAGTAGCCACAGAAAGAAGCCACTCAAATAACTATAAGTAATTTGAATGGATTGAATTTTCCTAATATCCATGCCTAACAATTTCAATTTTGAAGGATTATATTTTCAAGAAAACTTTTTTGCTCATTATTCTCCAAAGATTTTGAGCAGTTTTTGGAAGCAGTCAGAAAAATTTATCTTGATATTACAGACAGATTAGAGTATAAGACAGAGATTTTCATTTCTACTAGAGAAGTTTCTTGCATGTGGAATTTTAAAAATGGGTTTCATTTTTTTCCCCAGACTAAGCCAAACGGAAGCTTTGAGGGTTAAGATTAAACATTTGGTTATTGACAGTTTAAATACAGAAGATGAAAATATGAAATTAATTTAGAAATAAAGTGATGAAACATATTAGTATTGATGCTTAGTCTCCAACTGCTGTGTTTTGGGCAGGTTGACTAGACACGATTCTCCATTTGTCGATGAAATGGATTTGCCTGGATGCTTGCTTAGCCCCAGAACAAGCTCTGAGGTTCTGAATGTAAATCCCCAAAAGTTTTTGTTTTTTACCTTTGAGGCCTGGTTCTCCTTTGTCCCCCTTTAACTGGGTTATGCGAGAGGGCCCAGGGATTCCTTTTTCTCCTTGTTCCCCTTTGGCTCCTGGGGGTCCTCTTGTGCCTTTCATTCCTGGAATTCCAAGGCTGCCTAACAGATAGAAGTAACAGCATCAGGTCCTTCATTCTCTATGGGGTTCATAAAGATTTAGAAATCAACAGTGTCCAGTAAAATAGAACCAGAAAAGTTAACAGTGCTGAGTGACTGACAGTTTCCCTGAACAGACAATCATGAAAGCAGTGATCTAAACCCATTCTCTAAGGGAGAAAAAAGGATCTGTTCACCTGGGAAGATAGGATCCATTCACACAAGGAAAAGAAATGTAGAAAACAGAAAATGGAAGGTGTTCTTTCAGAACTAACCTTCCCTCCCTGCCCCACCCCTCTCCAGGAATGAAATGTGACTTATTCTGCTGCTGAATAAATGGACATACCCATACCGACTGGTGTTTGGGAAGACTTGTCCCTTACCCTTTTGCCCTGGTGAGCCTGGCTCCCCAGGAGGCCCAGGAAGGCCGATGGTCCCAGGATAGCCCATCATCCCAACTGTGCCTCTTTCACCTGCGGAAACAAATGAGCACAGACAGCACATATTGTATAGAAGAAGAAAAATGAGTCCTACACAAGTCAAGAAAGTAATAGGAATTCCATAAAACCAACATAAGTTATCCTTTGGTTGAGAGTTGAAGGAATGGTTTCTTAAATAGGAAAATGGCCCTGAATGTCTAGGAGGTCTGTCAGTCAATGGTTTTTGTTATCTCCTTGGTGGGAAGGCCGTGGAAACATCGAGAACTGAGTACACTGAGGCTCTGGCATATTCCCTCTTACCTTCTGACCAACGGCTTCCTAGTGTATCTCTTTAGTTTGTTTTTTTCATTCACTTGTCTCTAGTTGGATTTAGTGTTTAAATATATCTGTTATTGCTCCTATACTAGGAAGGGAGCACGGTTATCTACTGGTGAATCCCCAAGGCTAGCATAATATATGAGTAACTCAATGATAGTAATTACCGAAGGATAATTTGCTAATCAGATTTTTATCCCAGGCTCTAGTCTTCAGGAGCCATGAGTGAGCAGATTCAATGAAGAAGCAAAACATCCTCCCTAAATACATGAACTGTACAACAGCCATGAAATGAAAAGAAGAGCATGAGAAAAGCTGTTATAAACAACTCAGTGGCAACAAGTTAGATGTAGATAAAATGGATAATTTCCAAAAGAAACATAGATTACCAAAGCTGACATAAAAAGAAGGGGAAAAGCTGAAGAAAATCTGTTATAGAAACAAGTGAAAAGAGCGCTTGACACTTAGAAGATTGTCCTTAAAGAGACGTCCATACTGGGAGATTCTACTAAATGTGTAAGGAGTGAAGAGTCTTTATAAACTCAGGAACCAGAAGAGGAAGAAACACCTCCCAGATTTTTTTTTTTTGCCAGCCCTGGAGCTTGAACTCAGGGCCTGAGTACTGTCCTTGAGCTTCTTTTGCTCAAGGCTATAACTCTATGACTTGAGCCACAGAACCACTTCTGGCTTTTTCTGTTTACGTGGTACTGAGGAATCGAACCCAGGGCTTGATGCCTTCTACTACTAAGCCACATTCCCTCCAGATTGTTTTATAAGAGCAATATTGATACCAAAACCAGACCACTGATGTCCCTACTGCTTCCAAAACAAGAGACATCACAAGAACAGAAACTACCCACCAACTACCCACAAACTACTAGCAAGTATAATACCATAATATTTAAGGTATTACACAGAATAAAAAAAAAGCCCTAGCTGGGTAACTGAAATATGGTCACCCTGCCGCTACCATTCTGGTGCCCCTGAACCCCTTACAAGTACTTCAGAGGGAACAAGTTATACTAACTGAAGGAAAAGCATAGAATCAAAAGGTTATGTAATTCTAGGGGCTACCTGAAGGGGGAAATGTGGGAGGAGATATGAGAAGAAGAAAAAAAAAGTGAGGGAAGCGATGACGTTGTCCAAAAAGAAATGTACTCATTACCTGACTTGTGTAACTGCAATCACCTGTATAATAACAGTGATCTTTTTTTTTTTAATTGAAAGGATACCTGGGAGTCCTGAAGGTCCTGGAGCACCTGGACGTCCTTTCTGACCTGGTGGTCCCATCTCCCCCTGGTGACCTGGCACTCCGGGAGGTCCAGGTTCTCCCGGGGCTCCTGACCTATCCAAGCCCGGAATGCCAGGGTCTCCCTTTGGTCCTGGTTCACCTCTTCGACCTATATTCAAATAAATGCAGGAATGAATTAAACAGCGTACCTACAGGCATGTTCTGGAACAGTGCATCATGGCTGTGGCTTAATCTTTCAATTCAGAATTCTTAAGAGCTTCTGTAGAGCCGAGCCACCAGATACTTTATGAAACCACAGTGCCACTAAAGCAGTAAGGTTTGCCCAAGAGGTTGTGAGCATCTAAAGTACGGTACGCCACAGATACTAACTGAATTCTGGACAAGTTTTCCCAGAAACAGTTATTAGATTTAATTGAGAAGAATGACAAGATAGTATAAGTTTCATATCCAGAACATATAGTTCACATCACCCTTTCTTTTATGTTTCCTATGAAGCAATCAACTTACTGATTTTAGTTTCTAACTTGTCAAATTGCTACCTTCTTTATTTTTATTGTTATTTTTTGTCAGTCATGGGGCTTGAACTCTGGGCTTGGGCGCTGTCCTTCAGCTCTTCAGCTCAAGGCAAGCGCTCTATCACTTGAGCTACAGTGCCACTTCCGGTTTTCTATTAGTTTATTGGAGATAGGAGTCTCACGGTCTTTCTTGCCCGGGCTGGCTTTGAACCACAATCCTCAGATCTCAGCCTCCTGAGTAGCTAGGATTACAGGCGTGAGCCACCGGTGCCCAGCTCTTTCTTTATTTTACTAAGAAAAAAATGATCAGTTCAATATTCTTAGGGAGGTATTGAAAGCAGTCTCTGAGATGTTAGGCATGTAAGTAAATAATTATGTATGTATGTAACTTTTTATCCATCCATCCATCCATCCTGTCTTCAGTGTTCATATTTCTTTACATAAAAGATACAAGCCAACTCATTATAAGAACTCTGGCCTCTCCCTCTGCAGAAGTGCATGCTGCTATACACAACAAGTCCATAACAACAAGGCTTGTATTGCTCTCTGAGCAGACATGATTAGTTGTTAGATGATTTGTTGTTGGATATTCCCATGTTAAATAGCAAAGTGCAGAGCCAGAGCCTTACCTCACCTTCCCACCTCCTTCCTGGTTTGCAATCTCTCCTCTTACCTGGCTGTCCTTGCAGTCCATTTAAGCCGGGAAGGCCTGGAACGCCCCTGGGACCCTCTAAGCACTTTCCTGGGGGTCCTTTTTCTCCAGGTGGTCCGGCCCGCCCCGGATCTCCTGCAACAGCATGTCCAAGACAATGCTCAGTTGTCCTAGTATGGTCCTAATATGGCTAGCATGGCCCCTCCCTAAGGCACAGCTAACTTCAGTACTACTCCTACGACTCTAACAGAGGACATTCATGAAAAAGGAAACGAGGGTGGAAGGGAAAGAAAAGGAGGAAGAAAAGGAGGGCAGCCACATTCAATGGGAAAATAATTAGGCTTTGCAGATCCTAATACATTGAACTAGAACCTTTTTTTTCTTTAAGATTTCTTCACCCTAGAGCATCTACGTATTCAGCATGCTGCATTTCCACTGAGCTCACAGTGGACAAACGTAGTTACGCTTGCTATTGTACCTCGAGGTCCATCCAGCCCATCTTTTCCTGGAAGTCCAGGGACGCCGGGAAGTCCAGGGAGTCCAATTTCTCCATTTTCCCCAGAATTGCCTCTTTCTCCTGGAAAACCTGGTTTTCCTGGTTCTCCAGGCCTGGCTAGAGCTGGTTCCCCCTACACGCAGCACAGAAATGACATTAGTTTTACCATAGGATGCTTCCAAACCCTCAGAGAGATCAGCCGGTCTGTGGGGCTCTTTACTTGGAAACAACCCTTGGTTATGGATGATCTAATTCCTCCCCCCAAATACACACAGCCATCACCATAAAAAGCTTTTCCTTTTGAATTCTAGTTTCTGACTTTGCAATACAATTACACTGAATGATGCTCCAAGGTATAGAGCTCCAGGCTTTGAGAAGACTGTGGGATTCACTGTAAACAGAAATCTGGAGAGCTTTCCTTTGGATGGTTTTTCTCATTGCTATCCACATTTCTTTTTAGAGTTCTCTCCTTTAAAAATTTTTTTTTGTTGTTGTTGGTTGTGGGGCTTGAACTCTGGGCATGGGCGCTGTCCCTCTGCTCTTCATCTAAAGGATAGAGCTCTACCACTTCAGCCACAGTGACACTTCTGGTTTTCTGGTGGTTAATTGGAGATAAGAGTCTCATGGTTCCTGCTTAGGCTGCCTTTGAACTGTGATCTTCAGATCTCAGCCTTCTGAGTAGCTAGGATTACAGGTGTGAGCCACTGGTGCCAAGCTAGAATTCTCTCCTTTTATGTACTCAGTGTTTCTGATGCCATTGAGAAAGGAACATAGATATAAAGCTAGTTTCCTTTTTAGAAAGGAAGATGATATGGAAAAAATAGTATCTTCATCACTTACAAATAATCCACTAGTTTTTTCCAAGCCCAGAGTGGCGTCCCTAGCAGGAGCTTCCTGACTGGTGATTGTGTTACCCTTCCCTCTCACCCAAATCAGTCTGAGTGGTCGTTTTTGCAGACCTTGGCTCCTGGGAAGCCTGGATCTCCGGGAAACCCAGGCTCTCCCATTTTCCCAGGGTAGCCTGGGGGTCCTTTAGCTCCTAGCAAGCCTCGATCTCCTACAGGGAAAAACAAACGAACGGAAAATGGAAGGTTACTTTTAATGAAAGATTCTGAGCAATATCTCTTATTTCGTCTAATTCTTTGATATGGCAACCAGCAAGAGATGGTTTTGTGAATGTTTGAATGATGAGAAACCCAACTAATAAACAAGCAATTAAAAATTCAGTGGCAAATCAGATTCTGTTGGTCCCTAGTCTTTAAAAATGTCATTTTATTATTTTATTTTATTTTTTGTCCATTGTGGGCTTGAACTCTGGGCCTGGGCACTGTCCCTCAGCTCTTCAGCTCAAGGCTAACACTCTACCACTTGAGCCACAGCACCACTTCTGGCTTTTTCTGCTTATGTAGTGCGGAGGAATTGAACCCAGGGCCTCATGCATGCAGGGCAAGTACTCTACCACTGAGCCACCTTCCCAGCCCCTTTATTTTATTTTTATGTTGGTCATGGGGCTTGAACTCAGGACCTGGGCACTGTCCCTCAGCTTTTTGTTCAAGGCTAGCATGCTCAAGGCTTTGAGCCACAGCACCACTTCCAGTTTTCTAGTGGTTAATTGGAGATAAGAGTTTCACAGACTTTCCTGCCTGGCTTGGCTGGCTTCGGATGGCAATCCTCAGATCTCAGCCTCCTGAGTAGTTAGAACTACAGGTGTGAACCATCAATGCCCAGCATGCTTTTTTAATTTTATGACTTAATATCACTACAGTTTTAATTCAGCAATTCTTCACACCACTGAAACTGGTTGGCCATTTGATCAAGTTTGTGGTTGTAGTCTATTCCATTCACAGTGTGTAGCTAAATGGAATTTTATGCATCTATCCGTGTGGGCATGCCCCAAATACCTAGCAATCTTTTTCAGTACCTCAGGAGGCCTTTCCCACAAGGTTAACCAAGAGAATGAAGTCTGAATGCTCTGTAGCATCCTGTATGTAATGAGTTAAACTTCTTTTATGCATAGGAGAATTGAGGAAGGAGTCACACACATTTTCTATGATCTATGGTTCTCACTAAGAGCCAAAGTGAAACTGTATTCAAAGGATGACTGTGTTCCTCCGATCGCATCAAATCTGGATTCACAAGCAGTTCAGAGATTCCTCATTAGGTCACTGGGACATTGTAAACTCCTCAGCTAGTTCCACATCCTGTACTTTGCCATCATTGTCCACAAAGTGAACACATAGAGCTGCAAAACTCTGCTGCAACTTACTAATTCAGGATCTGGGAAAGACTAGATAGGAATATGGGCTGGACTCCATTACTTCACAGATCACTAGGAAACTATGACACTGGAGCCTAAGCCATTCTTAGGATCACATGAGAAATGTGATTTATGTTGTTTATTAGAAATCCTTATAAATTAAAATAGATAAATACTCTAATATTTGGGCAGAATAGATGTACACATTAATGACATATTCATACCAAACCATACAATATCCAAAGGGGATTATATCTTTATATTTAGACAAGCATGAAATTGTTATAAAACCTACAGTTCTCTTTGAGAATCTAAGGACCAAACCTCCTTATATGTCATTTTCTTTGGTGGGTTGTGGGGCTTGAACTCAGGGCCTGGGTGCTGTCCCTGAGCTCTTTCACACAAGGCTAGCGTGCGACCACTTTGAACCACAGCTTCACTTCTTCATATATCATTTTAGATAGTACTTTCTTTGGTATATTTGTCAGAGAGGAGCCTTAGGTAATTACTCAGTTTCACCATCTGGAATTTTGAAGTATTTCCACTTTGATGAGAAAGATCTTTTCTAAAAGGAAAATAACTTTTGTAATTTATTTGGATGTGTAAAGAAAAATCAACCATGTGATGTCTGTAGGAAGTGTGTTAAAGATTGAATCTAGGGCTTGAGTGTGCTAAGCATACTATCTACAACTAGGCGCTATCTTCAGCTCTGGGTATGATTTCTTTTTTTTTTTTTTTTTTTTGTCGATCATGGGGCTTGAACTTTGGGCCTGGAACTCATTTCTTATTAAGAAAGAATTATGTGAAGTGAAGAAATGTGTAAATGAAAGAGTGTAGAAGTGAAGAAAAGTTTAGTTGTAGTCCAACAAGCAAGAAGGATTACTATCCATCCTCATTTTGGTGAATTTCCCTCCATTTCCTTTTCTCTTTTATCATTTCCTTTTGTGCTTTCTTTCTTCTCTCTCTCCCTCTCTCTCTTTCTCTCTCTCTTTCTCTCTCTCTCTCTTTTGTTAGTAGTGGGGCTTGAACTCTGGGCCTGGCGCTGTCCCTCAGCTCTTCAGCTCAAGGCAAGCTACCACTTGAACCACAGAACCACTTCCGGTTTTCTGGTGGTTTATTGGAGATAAGTCTCACAGACTTTTCCTACCCTGGCTGGCTTTGAACTGTGATCCTCAGATGTCAGACTGCTGAGTAGTTAGGATTACAGGCGTAGGCCACCGGTGCCTGGCTCCATTTATTTTTGGATGGTGCTAGAGTTTGGAACTTGACCTTCTAATTGCTAGGCAGGGGTCTACCATTGAACCGCAAGTCCAGCATTCTTCCCCTAGTTTTTCTATGCATTTACAAAAGTATAATGACCTTGAGATTGAATTAATCACTGTGAATTCTTTCTTCTCACTTAATATTTACCTTTTGGTCCTGGAGGTCCAGGAAGTCCGATTCCTGGGATTCCTGGTTCCCCTTCAGGTCCAGGGAGACCAGGATCACATCTTCCCATGGAGCCAGGGAGACCTGAAACAGACAGACAGACAGACAGACAGATACACACACACACACACACACACACACACACACACACACACACTAGCAATTTGCCTTCATCTGTCTTTTAAAAGAAAATATCTAAGTTCTAATGTTCTAAGTTCTAATGTATCATCTCTGCCCTTTTGGGAAATTAAGAAATAATTTTACCAATAATAACACCAATCTTTCCTGTCCAACACTAGCTAATGGGAAAATAAATTTTGTTCTAGATATTGGGAGCTCTGTGTTTACCTGTGTAAACAAAATTAACTTTTAGAGAAAATGAGAGGGAAATCAAGTTGCAAATAAAGGTGCTATGAAAAATACCTTATTAACCACTGATAAACATTGATTTTTTTTCTCCTTACCCTCAAAGTTATGAAGACTGTTCCTTTTATTTCTTTCTTTTTGTGGCCCTGGAGTTTATGCTCAAGGTTTCATACTTGGCTAGACAAGTGCTCTGCCACTTGAGTCATACTTCTAGCCCTTCTTGCTTTGGGTATTTTTGAGATAAGGTCCACACTTTATGCTCAGGTTGGTCTTGACTGTTATCCTCCTGATCTCCACCCCTGGGTTATAATCCTATAATCCTATAATGCCTATAATCCTAGGCATAAGCAACTGTGCCTAGCTCAGAACTCCTTTTAAGTAAGTATATCAGCTCTCCTTTGGAACTTTTATATAAGAAGGACAAGCAGGAATAATTTGCATAGCCTTAAAGGTAACAAGTCTGGTCTGTTTGCTTATCTGAAAGTTTCTGCCCTGTGGTCTTTACTTTGGAGCCAAGAAATGGTATTTTTTTTATTATAATGTGGGCAATATTTTCTCAGGAGAGTTGACCATAAGAGTCTCACTTGAGCTATCCTATGATAACATGTCTTCCATGTATAACAGTCACTAAATCCAAAGGGACATATGACTGCCTTACCTGTTATCACATCCCAGACTTGGAATCAAGGGGACTTACCAGGGGGGCCTCGGGGGCCCACACGGCCAGGGGGCCCTGGAGGTCCTGGGGGGCCTGGGACTGGGAGTGAAACACTGGGTTCTCCCTTAGGACCTGAAGAACATTTGTCACAGTGAGGTTGGGTGCAGAGTGAAGCTTGTCATGGATGATAGGGATGTGTATACATTTATACACATCCTAAAGGAAATCAGAATAATAATTTCTGCCTCCACAGAACTCAAAAATTGCTAAAGTATGACCAGCCCATGAAAACATTCTTATTCAATCAACAGATGCTTGTAAGACTCTGCTATTGTCTAGGCAGTATTTCTCATGAGTAGCTCCACAAACCTGTTGAATGGCGTCCTTTTACAAAAAGTTGATAATATGGTATTACGTTGGTGAATCCTGGGAATATTTACTTACTGAGGAACTAGGTTGACTTTTTGGTTTCTCTTCCTTTTCTTTTTTTTCTCTTCTCTTTTCTTCTTTTTTTTGGAAGTACTGGAGATTGAACTCAGGGCCTTGCACTTACCAGCAGGTGTTATACTGCTTGAGCCGTCCTCCTAGCTCTCCTCTTTGATTTTGCTTTAGTTATTTTTCAGCTTCTTTCAGACATGTTTTGGCTGGGGCCAGCCTCTAACTACCATGTAATTCTCTCCACCTCTTAGGCAGCTGGACCCACAAGTGTGTTCTATACTGTCCAACTTGTTTTGTTGAGATAGGGTCTTGTTAACATTTTATCCTGACTGGCCTGACAGGTATGATCCTCCTAATTTCCACCTCCCAAGTAGCTGAGATTACAGGCATTCACCACCCTTATATCCTGTTTCTGAGACAAGGTCTTCAAATCTAAGGCTGGCTGATCCTGCGGCTTCTACTTCCCAAGTGCTAGGACTGCAGGCATGAATCACCGTGTTTTAATGTAGCAGGAAAATAGTATTATTTTTTTTTCAGTCATTTGAAAGTGTAAAACCATTCTTAGTTTGTGAACCACCCAAAGACCGATGATGGGTTGGATTTAGTCTATGGGCTTGCTAATGCCTGGATTAGAACAACAGCATCCAAACACCCCCCTCCAATAATAGTCTCCATTAAAATAATGAAGAGTGATAAATACACACACACACACACACACACACACACAGAGTAAACTTTATAAATGTGTGGACAGAAATGATGTATTCAATGAGTACAGACATGTGTGTGAATACACTTGCTACAAATGGAGACATTATAAAATGATTTGAATGTCATTAAGGTGGCATGGCCGTAATCACAGCATTCAGCTGAATGAGGCAAGATAATTGTGAGTTTGAAGCCAGCCTGGGCTACTAAGACCGTGTCTCAAGAAGGAAGACAAACAACTGGGCATGGTGGCTCAAGCCCAGAATTTTAAGCTACTTGGGAAGTGGAGTTTGAAGAGTTGAGCTTCAAGGACATCCCAGACTAAGAGAACAGAAAAGAAAGAAAAAAAGCATTTACAAGACTAACTTGACTAGAGTATAGCCAACCCCCAAAATGGGCTGGTGGAGTGGTTCAAGTGACAGAGTGCTTGCTAGCAAACAAACATTAACAGAAAGACCGAAAGACACAGAAAAGAAACAAAAGAAAAACAGATACAAGGAGTAACCAGGACCACAGTGGTAGTATGTGTTTCGAACTCTTGGTACCATATGGTACTCATCAGCCACAACACAGAATGCAGAACTGTGTCTTCAGCCCCTGGGGATTCCAGGAGGTCGGTGAACTTGAAACTGTTACCAGACAACTTTTTTCTTCATTGGTCTTCAGTAGTTTGAGGTTTTGTTTGTAACCTGTTTATTGAGTTTCAAATTAAACAAAACAAATGTGCCCTAACATTGTTGGGCCTTGAGGCCTAGAAAAAGCTGCTATGTATGACCTGTTGCTTGGTTTATTCTTCTCCTCATTGACTGCTACTCCACCGTTAGGAGCGATTCATTTAATAAACATCAGTAATGGATACAAATGGTCCTAGGAAATTTCAACAAAATTACCAAGTAATCAGGGAACATGGATTTTCTTTTCCCCAGTCTGACTGTGGATTCTACATGTTAGAAACAAGTTTATATATACATAGTATATATGTAATATAATATATGTAATATATAATATATATTCATTTGCTTTGAAGAAGCTTCTTTAGTTCTGAGAGCCATCAACCCATTCCTTAGGAAAACAGGACTGGAAAGAAAACTAACCAACCGGCTTTTCCAGGCAGTCCTGGGGCTCCAGGAACTCCTTGGGTGCCTTTTGGACCTGGCTCTCCCTGGGGTCCACAGCCAGGTGGTCCTGCTGGTCCTTCAGGCCCTGGAGGCCCAGGGGACCCAGGATTCCCTGGAAGACCGCGATCCCCCTTCTCTCCACTCAGGGCCTGTGACAATAGAAGGTATTTGTGTTGTGCTTCATTCTCATGTCTCCTTACCACAAATTAATTAATCACACCCCACATGTAAATACCAGCTTGAAGGAAGAAGCATTTGATGGGAACTAATATTAAAATAAGAGTGGGTTTTCTGCACTTGAAACGATCTTGAGTCCCACTTGAATATCTTAATGATCTACCACTGAGCCACCTTCCCAGCCCTAACTTGAGATATTTTAAATGACAGAATGCTGGCTCTGGGGCTGGGGGTGTAACTCAGTGGTAGAGCACTTGCCTAGTCTGAGCAAGTCCCTGGGCTCTAGCTCTAGTGCAACAAAACAAAACAACAAACAAAAACCACTATCTCTCTTTGTTTACTACCATATTCCTGAATGAGGCTTTCCGTACATTTTTCACTTAAAATAATGAACACTTCCCCAGAAATACTTACTAAAATTTTCTCCTATTAGTCATTTTCTAAACTTCTTTATACTTCATTGATATAAATACAAACATATAATTTGTATACAAGACAGAGTATTATCAAGGTAGAACTTTAATGCACGCGTGCGTACACACAATTCTAGGGCTTGAGCACAAGGTTTGGGAGCTGTCCCTGATCTCTTTTGCTCAAGGCTAGTGCTCTATCACCTGAGTGACGGCTCCACTTCTGGCTTTTATGTTTGTTTGTTTTTTGCTGGTTTATTGGAAGTAAAAGTCTCTTGGAATTTCCTGCCAGGGCTGGCTTTGATCTGCAATCCTCAAATCTCAGTCTCCTGAGTTAGCTAGTATTACAGGGGAGAGCCACCAGCACCGAGCTGCCAACCACTTTTGGGGAGTAAATCAGCTTATATCTTAACTATGGATTTCTTAGCCATAGGGTGGATAACTTGTGAAAAACTGCTAAATACCAACCGGGTCGCCCTTAGGTCCTGGTGATCCTTTTAATCCTGGAGATCCAGGAGTTCCATCCAAGCCCTTTCTTCCTGGTGGTCCTCTGGGCCCAGGCTCCCCAGGGACACCCATTTGCCCCTGAGGCTGAGGTGTTTCACCTTTTTCTCCTTTAAATCCTGGAGCACCCAGGGCACCTGGAAATCCCTAGGGTGGTACAAAAATGCATTTGCCCTGTGCTTTGTTAGTTGCCTTTGTGTTCATCTTAAAAACAGTGTCAACAAAAACTTTTCAATTTTAATGAACATGGACTTTTTTTTAAACACACATTTTCTTTGCTTCCCAAATATAATTTCAAGCTTTCTGTTTGTTTTACTTTGTTGTGAACTGCTCAAAATGTAAAAATATTCTGTTAGGCCCTATAATTCAGTATAATACAGACAATAATACAACTAAACACAATGAAACAGTATAATTCAGTATGATACAACAATAATCATTTCAATTAGATTTGAGTGATGGCAAATGTGAACATGCATCTCTGAATAACAATTTAAATCTACAAGTAAGACTTTTATTATAACCATCAACATAATTAATTAATGCTATATATAATTGTTCACGATCGATCATTGTAACTGCCTTGTTGAAATATAATTTACATGCTATTGAATGTATCCTTTGTAAACATAGAACTCAATGACATTTAGTAAACTTACAAAATTATTATAAAAAGCATTAAAATGTTTCCAACTTGTTCCTGTAATCCCCCTAAACCATCTGCAGTTAATCCCTGGGCCTGTCTTCAGGGAACCCATGCAGCAACTGATCTGCTGTCCATCTCTGATACCATTGAACTTTATTTATAAATCCATTCATTCATGCATTCATTCATTCCACAAGTGTCTTCCCTTATCAATTAAAAAGTACCTAGAATCTGCTACACAAATGGATAACCTATGTGTTGTGCACCCATAGGTCCAGCATGTTCTGTTTTTCCAAATTGAAATGAAAACTTGAATGATCCTGAAATCTTACCGGAAATCCTGGCGGACCTGCACTCCCTGGGGACCCTGGGCTTCCTTTAGCACCAGCTGGACCTTGTCCTCCTGAAAAATAATGCATTAGTAACTATGATTCCCCAAGTCTATGTGGCCAGGGGCACTCAAGGTGTGAAGAAATTAGGGCATTTTTTTAAAAAAAAGGAGGACAGAATGACAACTTCTATTGTAAAATATACAATGCAATAAGAGAAGAAAGGGAAAAAAACAAACAACAAATATGAGGATGAAGGGAAATTCACATTTCCAGCATATGTGTTAGTGGGAGTGTAAATTAATGCATTCTATAAGTGTGTAAGTCAGAATGGAGGTTCCTCAAAAAAAAAAACTAAAAATAGAACCATCATTTGATCCTGGTACACCACACATGGGCATCTACCTGAAGGCATGTAAATTGGCATACATTAGAAATACTTGCATACACATGAGTATTCTGGCACTACTCAAAATAGTCAAGCTATAGACTCACCAACAAATGAAAAGATAATGAAAATGTGGTATACATATACTGTGGAATGTTAATCGGCCAAGAAAAATGAAATCCTGCCATTTGTAGGAGGATGAATACAAGTAGAGATCTTCATGTTAAGTGAAATAAGCCAGACTCAGACATAAGTCATCCGTTTGTGGGGCAAACTAGGTTCTCTAGCAATCTAATGCCTTTAGCAACTTTCCCAGGGTGTATGCCTTACAAAAACACACATAGGCACACATTTTGGACATACCTGGGATGCCTTTGAGACCATCAAACCCTGGCAATCCTGGAAGACCAGGGGGCCCTGGGATATAAGAACACTGTGTGCACACAAGGCCTGCTTCTCCTACAACAGGAGAGAGACATTGCATTAGTGATAACTTACACCAACTCTACAACAGGACTCATTATCTATGTCTTCAGTGATCTATTGCACAAAGACTTTTTTTAATGTAGTGAAAAATTGTATAGGACATTGTATACCTTAATTAAAAGCCCATGCATTGTATCTGCTTACTTTTTTTTGTTCTGACCTTTACAGTTCTTCTGAGAAGAAATTCTAAGAATCTAGCACAAAACAGTTACTATTTCTAATCTTTCTCCTTGCATACAGGATAAAACTCACCTTCTAGGGATAGTCATCAATGCAGAGTGCTGAACAACAAATGAATGGTTTTAGCTAATTCTTTGGTAACAAAGCCATCCCTGATAAGCTGCTGTTTGGGCTCACAGCAGTCTCAGTGGGAGAAGATCATTGGCTCTGATGATGGGATTCTTTAACACTACAGACCGAACAAACCTTTGGGGCCATCGACTCCTGGGGTGCCGGGGGACCCCGGATGGCCTGGCGGTCCACGGTCACCAGGTGGACCTTTGCGAAAAATGACATCACCTATAAAAAGACATACAGGTAATTCTTCAGTGGTGTTCGTATCAGTTAGCAATGTGTAAGTGCTATATACATTTCCCGCCTTTTGGTATAGGAGGATGAATCTTTAGAAATGTATTGTCTACAATGGAAAGTTCTGATGGATGTTAGCCAGCCCTTCTGTTTGCATCACATAGCTGCATTTAATTTTATCCATTTTGAGGCAGTATCCCAGCTGGCCTCCTACCCCAAATCCTCGTGCCTCAGCTTCCTGAGTTTTGGAATTATATTATAGCTGTGTACCACCATGTCTGCCTTCAAATGTACTTTTTTTTTTTTGATACTGAGGTTGTATGTCATTTTTGTCACAAAATTAACCCATGGTATCTTATTTCCTGTCATTCCAAGACTATTCTGTTACCATTTTCAAGCAAAGGGTCAAAATCTCATTATGCACATCTATCGTGATACATTTTATCTCCCCATGCTTATTAGATACTAAATAGATATTGACTGAACAATGGGTTCTGACACAGGTCGTTGGTTTTCTCCTATAACATACTTTGCTAGCCTTAAGGCAGCTGTTAAGGAAGCTGTTCACCATCTTTCACAACTACTATGATGTGCTGGATAGCCTACTCTCTCAAAATGGGACAGTATATTTTCTGAACTAAGTTTTGGTCTTGTATATCACAAGTAGGTTAAAGGCAGTGAAACAACCTGGTAATAAATAATAGCTGTAACTTCCCAAAATTCAGAACAAGTTGATAAAGAAAATTATGTGTCATATTAAGTTTCCTTGACTACAAAAGACATGTTTGGTTTAGTGAACTTGTCTTTTAATGAACTTGTCTTTGAATGGCTGGGGTATACAGTTCAGTAATAGAAGATTTATCTAGAATAAAAAAGGCCATGGGGCTCCAAGCTGAGCTACACACACACACACATACACACCACTACCATTACCACCATCACTACTGACAATGAGCCCAACAACAGTAACAATAACAGAACAAAACCCATACTTGGCTAATCATCTCTAAAGAGTACTGACACCAGTTTAATTCTTAATGTAAATTTAGATATAAACTCATCCACTTATATGATTGCATGTACTTAACACATCTTCGTAACCATTTCACATTGAATTCAACAAATATAACATGAAGCCTACAATGTTGCAGCTCTCATAGTAAATAATGGGCTTGAAATAGGAAATCAGACCCAGTCTCTGACCTCTGAGAGCTTTGACTGTGTGTGGGAGGAAGTGATATGTACAGGTGAGGGGAAACATTCTAGAGCCAGGGATGAGCCCAGGTGCTGTGAAAGCCTTCTGTAGGAACTGAATTTGAAATCTGGAAGTCAAAGGACAGACAGCTGTCACTTGGGAAAGGGAAGGTGGGACACAGGCTCTAGACAGAGAGCACACAGTAGGTGCAGGCTCCTGAGTAAAGGAACACTGCAGCTCTGGGGTACAGATACCAGCCTTAAGCCTTTACTTGCTACACACGCTCCACATACTAGCCTGGCTCTCTGTAAGAAGCCAACACTAAATCTACTTCCAGAGAGAGACCCAGAAGGCTTGAAAGTGTTGCATTTTTTGACATAATAGGAATGAAATTCAGTTTTGCTTTGTTTTTCACATGGTCCACACCACTTGTCAGATTTGTTCCTGGATATCTCTTTTCACTAATGGGATCGTTTCTCAAAATTAATATTGTGCTAAAGGACTCCCCCCACCCCCCACTGATCAGATAGTAATCGATACTAAGAGTTTTTCTTTTGGATTTTCTAGGCTTATAAACACATTCCCCACACATAGCAAATATTTCTTCCTCTTTGAAAATCGATCCACCAACAAGTCTCTTTGGAAGATGGAATATGAAACACAGGATCTCAGAACCTTCCAGGAAAGGCAAGTAAGATACCAAAGTGATTGAGATCTTCTCAAGGACTGGTTGTAACTGAGTCAACACTACATACTAAACTAAGCAGGAAAAGGCAAAGGCAAGGAGTCGCTGTGAGAACCTAGGAGTGAGCACTCAGATCCTTCAGAGCATCGCACAGCTATGGTCTCCTGCCCAGAGACCTTCTTCTGTCAAGATCTGGGATGCGCTAGTGACCAGGCAAACACATTTAGAAGTGTGTGTGTGTGTGTGTGTGTGTGTGTGTGTGTGTGTGTTGGGGACAAGGGCTGTGGTTAGTTCTGTCCTGTGGGACAAGTTTTTGTTTCTTGGGAAAATAGTTGCTGGTAGATAAATTCCTGTCTCTCTCTTTCCCAGGATAGATTTTCCTGGGACACGTTCTTAAAGATGGGCTGTAGAAGCTGGTATGTGGCCAAGGCCAACTTGATATCCACCTGCCCTTCCCCATGACTCTCCCCTTGTCCACGCTGCCTTCCTGCTCTGCCTTCTGCCAGGGTGGCATTTGCAAAGTCATCATTCCACCCCAGTTCTTTCCCCAGAGAGTTCTAGAATGGAAGATCACTGGAAAGATACCTCAGCAAAGCCCACACAGACCGATGACCAGCATGAGTTGTTTATTTCCCCTCATTTCCACAGGTCACTCACTAGGTGTGGTTATGTACACTTACCTGGAGGTCCTGGAGGTCCTGGTGATCCTGGGGGCCCTGGTGTCCCAGGACAGCCTGGAGACCCGGGAAGCCCCACCATGTCCTTTCCCGGGGGTCCTGTCTTCCCTTTACTTCCTTTTAAGCCTGGCCATCCAGGGGCTCCACTGGGGCCAGGCTTTGATGATCCTTGGAAATAATAATCAGTGTGGTATGTTAAACTCTCTCCTGATAAATATGTATTCATTTTCCAGTTGAAAGCAAACATCCAATGTCTATTTACAGGAGTGGCACAATTGAAAGACATACATAAAATATACAAAATAGAACATGAAAATCCCTTTCCCCCCTTCTTTTGCAACCTTGGTAAATTAGATTGCAGTGAAACAAAGTGTGAAACATTCCATTCCCAGAAGATGTATCATTACAAAACACTGACACAGAGTTTGGGATACATTATAAACTTAAAAAAAATTATTACAGGAGCTGGGAAGGTGGCTCAGTGGTAGAGTGCTTGCCTTGCATGCATGAGGCCCTGGGTTCAATTCCTCAGCCACATAAGCAAAAAGAAAAAAGCCAGAAGTGGCACTGTGGCTCAAGTGGTAGAGTGCTAGCCTTGAGGTGAAGAACTGAGGGACAGCTCCCAGGCCCAGAGTTCAGGCCCCATGACCGGACCCCCCAAAAAAATTGTACAGAGATTACAATGACATGAGTCAGGTAATGAGTCCATTTCCTTTTTACAGTGTTTTCTTCCCTCCCTCTCTCCCAGTCCCTCCCTCCTGTCTCCGCCCATGAGTTGTATAGTTCACTTTCATCAGTGTCCAGTGAGCTTTACTGCTGCACTTTTCCACTTTCCTTCCCTTGAGTGCTCCCCCTAACCCTTCTGAAGCTATACACTTGAATACACCATGCATAAGGAAAAGAAGAATCATAAAACAATCAAAAAATCAAAAATTAAAAATTAAAAAGAGAGCTACTTTGTTTGCATATCTTAGAGTTTATTTATATATATTATTTTATACAACTATGAAGAGGCACTTGGGCATTACACCCTGTGTTTCTCCCCTAAAAATATCCTCTTTTGGTCTCACTGTGTGTGAATATCTTGAATCCTGTATAATTTGTCTTGTTCCAGTGTATTTTAGACCTAATTTATGCATATCGGAGGGAACATGCACTGTTTGTCTTTTTGAGATTGGCTTACTTCATTTAACATGATTTGTTCTAGTTCCATCCATTTCCCTGTGAATGACATTATTTTATTCTTGCTAATTTTATTCTTTCGAATGGATATATAAAGTTTCATTGTGTATAGGTACCACAATTTTTTGGATCCACTCTTCTATTGTGGGGCATCTGGGCTGTTTCTATATCTTGGCTATTGTGAATGGTGCAGCAGTGAACATGGATGTACAGGTGTCTTGATCATATCCTGGCTCATGATGTTCTGGGTAGGTGCCCTGGAGTGGTATTGTCAGGTTGTAGGGAAGATCTGTGTTTAGTTTTTTGAGGACCTGCTGTCCAGAATAGTTATACTAGTTTATGTTCCCACCATCAGTGCAGTAGGGGTCCCTGCCAATGTTTGTTGTTGTTTTAATTCACAATGTTGGCCAATTTAACTAGGGTGAGATGGACTCTCGGAATTGTTTTGATTTGCATTTTCTTTATGGCCAAGGGTGATGAGCATTTCCTCATGTGTTTCTTTGCTATTCTTATCTATTCTGAGAAGTTTCTCCTTAGCAATCTTGACCATTTAGTGATTGGTTTATTAGGTCTGGGAGGGATTAGGTTTCTTGAACTTCTTATATATTGGATATTAGGCCTATGTCTGATGAATTGCTAGTAAAGGTCTCCCATTCTGTTGATTGTCTTTCTAGTTTCATAAATATGTCCTCTTAGCTGTACAGAAACTTTTTATTCTGATGTAGTCCCACTGGTGAAGACTCTTTATATATTGTATATTAGGCCTGTGTCTGATGAATTGTTGGTAAAGATCTCCCATTCTGTTGATTGTCTTTCTATTTTAGTAACTATGTCCTTAGCTGTGCAGAAACTTTTTTATTTTGATGTAGTCCCACTGGTCAAGTCTCTCTTATCTGTTGTGCCCCTTGGACTCTTGTCAAGGAGTTTCCACTTATACCTACAAGTTCTAATGTTTCTCCTACTCTCTTGCAGTAATTTCAAAGTTTCAGGTCTGACGTTGAAGGCTGATCAACTTTGACTTGATATTAGTGCATGGTGATAAATAGGGATCCACTTTTAGTTTTCTGCATATGGATGCCAAGTTTTCTCAACACCAACTATTAAAGAGGCTATCCTTATGTATATGTCTTTGGTTCCCTTATCAAGTATCATATAACTGTAAATGTATGGTTCTGTTTCTGGGTTTTCTAATCTGTTCCACTGATCTTCAGGTCTATTTTTTGTGCCAATACCAAGCTGTTTTTGTTTACAGCTCTGTAGTAGGGCTTGAGGTCTGGTATTGTGATAGCACCACATGTTTTCTGTTTTTTGGGTTTTTCTTGCTTATAATTGCTTTGCCTATTCTAGATCTTTTGTTGTTCCATATGAATTTTTGGATTGTTTTCTCTAAGTAAAGAATGTCATTGGGATTTTGATGGGGATTGCATTGAATTTGTGCATCATTTTTGTTAGTCTGGACATTTTCATAATATTGATTTTATCTACAATCTACTTGGTCATAATATATGATTTATTGATATGTTTCTTGTGGCTAGAATTTTATTGAAGAGCTTTGTGTCTGTGTTCATCAGAGAAAGTGATTTGTAGTTCTCTTTTATTGTTAGATTCTTACCTGGTTTCAGGATAAGTATGATATTGGCTTCATAGAATAAGTTTGGAATTGGTCCTTCTGTTTCTATCTCGTGGAAAAGTTTGAGGAGTATTGGTATAGTTCATCTTTAAAGGTCTTATAAAATTCAGCTGTGAATCTGTCTGGGCCTGGGTTTTTCCTTACTGGAAGACTTCTGATTACTTCCTCAATCTTGTTGTGTATTATTGGTCTGGTTAAACGGTTTATATCTTCTTGGTTCAGTTTAGGCAATTTGTATGTCTCTAAAAATGTGTCCATTTCTGCTAGTTTTTCCTTCTTTTTTGAGTATAGGTTTTGAAAGTAATCCTTTATAATAATTTGGATTTCTTGGATTTTTTTGTAATTTTTTTGTAATGTTTTCTGTGTTTTTGAATGCCTTCTCTTCTTTTCTTTGTCAATCTCACTGGTGGTCTGTCAATTTTATTGATTTCTTTTTCAAAGAACCAGCTTTTTGTTTTATTGACTAATATATAATTTTTAAGGTCTCTATTTTTATCAATTTCTGCTCTAATCTTTGCTCTCTCTCTCTCTTTTTTTTGGGGGGGGTCCGGTCATGGGGCCTGAACTCTGGGCCTGGGCGCTGTCCCTCAGCTCTTCAGCTCAAGGCTAGCGCTCTACCACTTGAGCCACAGCGCCAC